CTGATCTCTGTGGATGTGCTGTCACAGGATTTTGACTGAGTATCTGCTTCCTCTGTGGTCAGTCTAGAGCATTTCCCTCACTGCTAATACATGCAAGCAGATGCAATAATTTTCCTCTGAAATTATTTTAAATCCCTTATGACCCCGTTCTGGTTTAATCATCTATTACCTGAATCCTTCCAAGAATTTATGGTTTATAGAGGGGCTGTGAAACGATTGATTTAGAGAAGTTCATTTTATACAACACTCTGCAAGTTTATTGTTCAGGCAAAAATTAGTAAGCGAAGGGATTGCATTGTCTTCAAAAGGGAAGGCTCAATACTGTCTGAATGTTTCTGCTTCTGAATAGCGGACCATAGGGCTCACGTGAATCAGGCAGGGCATCTCATGGCTGGTTGTTCTTCTCAGCAAATTGTTACACTATCTGTGCTGTAGCACCACAGCATTTATAATCTCTGCTTCTCCTTTCCCATCTTCTTGCTAAAATCAGCAAGGAAACCCCTTCAGTTGACGACTACAGCCCTCCCTGTGGGATTATTGCAACTGTGTAGGCATTTTGATAAGAAGAAGGGACAAAAAGGAGGGAGACATCTGGATTCTTCAAAAGAAGTAGATTCCAAAGATATCAGCATTTCGTTCATTCTCAGCATAACGAGATCCTGCTCATCAGTATATTTATTAGTCATGTGGGGACCAAATGATCCTCCTCACTCCAGAGTGACTTTGACAGTGCTGGGGTAGAAAAGAACCAGAATCTTCTGCTGTCTACTGACCATCTATGTCAGGGACCAGGACTGCATGCTGACTTTAGACTATCTGGTGTTGAATATTGGGGATGTGCACCATCACCCTATTCAAATCGCTTCAGCTCCTTAGGGCTCATTCTCTTTTTAAGCAGGCAGGATATACTTAGGTAGAAAGTAAAGTAAGATGAGAAGTAAATGCAGATTTATTAATGATATGAGTTTCATAGCCAGACAAAGTGGTGTTCTAGTTGAAGTCTTGCCACTGATATGTAACCTAGAGAAAACTTTCATGGGGCTGCAGAGATGATCCAGGCAGGGGTTAAGAAAATTGACTGCTTTTCTAGAGGAGCCAGGTTCAACTTCCTGCACAAACATGGTGGCTCACAATTGTCTGTAACTCCAGTTCTAGGGGATCCAGTGCCCTTCTCTGACCTTCTTGGAAATTGTGTATACATGTGGTTCAGATACACATGCAGATACACATGCAGCCTGAACACCTATGCACATAAACAAAGAGGAAGCTTTCATTAATTTTCTTGCACCAAATTTACCTATAAATGTCAATTTATGTAATTCTGACAACTGAGTACCCAATGGAAATGAAACCTCCCATTCCTTCTGGTTTCCCGAGTTTCCTTTCACCAGTGGTGACTCAAGCATTTCTGGAATGCCTTAATGGAGGCTTTCAAGGCATGGGTGCTGGCTAGTTTTCAATAACTTGATACAAACTAGTGTCACCTGGGAAGAGGGAACCACAGTTCAAGAATTGCCTTCATCAGACTGGCATGTGGCCAAGTCTGTGGGGGCCTTTTCTTGATTAATGATTGATATGGGAGGGTCCATCCCACTGTGGGCAGTGACACCTCTAGACAGATGGTCCTGAGTTGCATAAGAAAGCAGGCTTAGCAAGTCATCGGGGGCTAGGCAGTAGCAGCACTCCTCAATGGTCTCTACTTTTGGTTGCTGTCCTGATTTCTCTTAGTGACAGGCAGTGACCTGGAAGTCTAAGATGAAACAAATTCTTTCCTTTCCAAGTTGGTTTTGGTCATGGTGCTTATCATAGCCACAGAATCAAACAAGAACAGCATGTTAAAATATTTATGTAAACAATGATCAACATGGCAGATAACCCTACGGGTGCAAGAGTGGCAGACATACCTTGGCAGTAACCAACATGTCTGTAGATGGACTTAAGGCCCATTCAATAGGAGGGAAGTCATGCCTGGGACTGAAAACCTAGCCAACCAGCAATAGTGAAGTCATGAATCTTCCAGGAGAATCTATAGCCACTATTTTGTTAAACTGTCACAACTTTTAACTGCACTCTAAATATTTGTTGTTATACCCACAGGTAAGTGTAGTCTTCACTCCTCATTAAGAAAACTTAACTTTGCAACAAATGGAGACCATTACAGAAAACCACAACAAATAAAATTACACAGTGGTGGAGCCTAGAGCCAAGTGCCAATGGAACATCTACAATACCACTCTCACACCCAAGGCTCTGGGACCACTGAAGTAGGGCCGGGTGGGACGATTGTAGGAGCCAGAAGGTCAGGGAGTTTGCTGGGAGATCGTGTCTACTAAGAATGTCAGAAGCTACACCCATAAGGCCTCACCAGCATGACTCCCTAAGCAGGAGCTTAACAAGGATAACACCAATAGACACACTAATGATGACAAGGGAAAGCCCACAAGACCTCACCCCTACATGATGAACTATAGGCTACTAAGGAATGCTGAGACGGGAGAAACAGTCTTCCCCAGGGAAGAGTACTTTAATTGGTCATCCAAAATCAAGTGGTCAGTTCTGAAAACACAACACAAAGTAGCATACAGACTAAACAGAGTACACACACACACACACACACACACACACACACACACACACACACACACGCACACACATACATATATGCATGTAACAACAATTAATGAAAAAAGAGATCATGAATTTTAAAGAGCAGGGAAGGCATATATGTCAGAACTGGGAGAGGAAAAAAGGAAGGGGAAAATGGTGGAATTATATTACAACCTTAAAAAACAAAAGAAAATGTTAAAAAAGCAACTTGTGTAAGAACACTCTTGTCTCAATATGCACCTTACCATGCACATACATGCTTCTGAACACTCCTCTTTTAACTAAAATGGAATTTAGACCCATTTCGTGTCAGCACATTTAGTCCTATCTTCTTCTTTTGCTTACACTATTCTGCTGAATATGCTTGTAACAACACGTCTGCTGAACACGTATGATGTGTGATTAAGTAATTATACCATGGTATATTAGTTTCCAACTGAGTTCTGTAAATAATGCTGTACTGACCCTCTTTGTATACTCATGTTTAAGCTCTCATACAATCGGCTTTTTAAAGTGGATTGCCTATATCAAAGTATGTGGGCATCTGAATTTTAAATAGATTCTCCAAATAGAGTAAATATCCCAACTTCTCAGAATTCCAGGGTCTTGAAAAATCCAAGTGGAAGCAGAACCTAACTCATGGGTTGTCATGAGGATTAATGGAAATAAGATAACTGTCAGTAGTGCTGCTACATGAAACAAGGCTAAATGTAAAATGATTTATGTTCAGATTCCAGATGAACAGCAATAACATTTAGTGTCCAACATCCCAAGTATCACAAAGAGTGTGTTTATGTGTGAATTTGTTGTATCTGAAACTCAAGTGAGGGTAGAACATGGAAGTAGGAGGTGTGGAATTCAAAAATGAAACAGCACAGTCCTAGCTTCTCCTCCAGACAGACACTTTCAATAGAGACTGCACTACGGCCATACCACCCTGAGCGCGCCCCATCTCGTCTGACCAATAGAGACTGCAGAACATGCCAGTAGCGGTGCAGTTTCCATAAGCTACACAAGATGTCCTTCTCTAAGCCCATCACTTCATATCTCCAGTAGACAGTCCTCTGAGGAATGTCACTGATGCCGCAAGGAAGAAGTCCCCAGGAGAAACAAACAGCAATACTCTGTATTTTAAAGAGAAGGACAAATGAGTTTTACAAGGGTTCCTCCATTTCCCCAGTGTCAATGGGCCAGAGAGTACAGCAAAGCATAGCACTGAAAAAAAAAAAAAAAAAAAAAAAAAAAGATCAAATTTTGGCTAGAGACAAAAATGCTACAGCTGAGAAACTTCCAGAACAACATGTACTTGGACCCAAATTAAAGAACAAGCCTTTGAACTCTTGAGCCAAATGACCCAGCAGGGTTGATAGTGTGAGGCGAACTTCACAGTGGCGTAAATATTTACATCTATTTCCAGTCTAGAAAGCAAGTAAGTTGTGTTAATTTTGAAAAGCTGCACAGTGGAGTTCACCTGATGTACTGGGGATGCCTACTTTGTCAACAGTCAGGAGGAGAATGACCAGTTTGGAAAGCAAAGCTGCTTTACATTTCAAGGAGTTTGTTTTAGAAGGAAGGCGGGGCCAGTGTCTTAGTATCTAGCTGCAGGTGGTCTGTTTCTTCAAGGCCTGCCTGGCTTTGGGCAACCCTGACTCACTTGTCACTCAAGGCTAGATCCAATGAACACATCTGCTTCTCCTCACAGGCCATTTGTGAACTTGGTGAAGAATGGGCATGGGACTCCAACGCATACATAAGCTTCAAGGAAAGCTAGACTCTAGTTCATCTCTATTCTGAGCTGCTCATCCTAGGCTGGTAGAATGCCACCAAAGCCACCCTTCCACAGCAGCACTGTGGATACTGTGCAGGCATCTTCATTTTGTCTTTCAGGCAATCTTTTATCATCCATCTTTCTTGTCCTTTTCAACATTGTAACGTTTCCTTTCATTTGTGTTTTACCTATTGTACTTTGTTGCTATCTTCTCATTTTCTTTTTGTCTCTGGTTAAATGGTTTCAGAGACAATGGGAATGCTGTCCCTGAACTTACTAGTTGAGAGTTAGACATGAATGTAGATGGATTTTCTGAGAGATCATGGACATTGTATAAAAGTGGCATCCAGCTGGCATCATGGCATGGTTTCACAGACCTTTAGCCAAGAGTTAGGCATTTGGAGCTTTGTCTTGATGTGTCATTACTCACTGGTATAGCCACAGACAAATTATTTAACCTCTCTGACACCCATATTGCTCATTGATTGTGATGAGTCCCTTGAATTTCCCATTTTAGCAATGTCTGTTCTGGTTCTTCTACTCTATTTTGTGAATATGGATACAACCCTTGATTATAATTTTCATTCTTCTCCATTATAACAAAATATTTCTGTTCTTCTCTCAGACTGCAGCATGAAAAATGGATGAATGTTAAAGTTGGAGACATCATTAAATTAGAAAATAACCAATTTGCTGCTGTGAGTATTCACTATTGTACGACTCAGTCTCAGATTAGAATAACACACATTGAAGTATTTACATGTGTAAATTTAGTAAATCTGCAATAATCTAGAGCCACCACAGAAGTCTTGCCATTATACGTTAGTACAAATTCTCAACTATAAATACTTTAAAAGACTCGACTTTCAGAGATGCAGTGACTTGCATAATGCTGAGGGGCTCTCTCCCTGTTTGTTCCCTTAAGGAAGCTTACACAAATGCAGAACTATTTAAATCAATATGTGAGTTATTTATGTAAATACGAGTTTTAAAAATGTTCCTGAGTACTCTAAAATTGTTTGTTTTCATACACTTTGAGTGCTTTTTCTCAATATCACAATTACTGTTCTTAAACTGCAACCTATTTGAAGAAAACACACTAAAGAGAAAATTCATGTTATAATTCTATATTGATCAAAGGTGAACTAGTGAGGGCTTTGCACACCAAATGCATCATAATTTTTATTTGCAAGAAACTTGTGTTTAATTTCTTAAGTAAAAGTCAGTTCACTCACTAAACATAGACAACTGCAGTTAAAGTCAAATTTAAGGTTATAAAAATGGTACAGATCAGAACCTAAAAATTCAAATTACTGTAGTGATTGTATCAAAATATGTATTAGACCACTTATGAAAATTTTGTGTTGTATGCAATTTTATGAATCAAACTATATTCTTTATTAAAGTTGTGATTTGGGGGTGTGTGTTTCAAAACAGTGTTTCGCTGTGTAGCTTTGAAGCCTGTCCTGGAACTTACTTTGTAGACCAGGCTGGCCTCGAACTCATAGAGATCCAACTGCCTCTGCCTCCCAAGTGCTGGGATCAAAGTTGTGTGCCACCACCAGCTAAAGTTGCAATCTTTTATAATGGAAAACTATGGCCCCAAAGTCTCTTTAAAAGAATAACAACCCAGTTGGGAGTGCTGGACACTCCCTTTCAGAACCAGTCTTCTATCATTGTATTATCAGTGTCTGCAGAGTGCGGAGAAGCATGCGCAGAGGAGCTTCTGGTGGACAAGCCGTTAGTGCTGAGCTCATACTTTAAGTGGCTTATTCTCTGGCAATCTTAAGGTTTTGGAAAATAGCTGGTCCTGCAAACAAAAATAAGCAAGATGTCAGGACAGCCAAAACAGAGGTCTAAAACCCTGTGCCCTGTGGCTTGGACCTCTTAAGCATGGAATAGTCTGCCAGGGTCTCATTCACAATGGATTTACTTTTATTTCATGTGGCTTAAATGACATGTCTGGCTTATTTTCCACTCAGTAAATATTGGGAACATAAACCTAGGAGGTGACACCTGTTAGAAGAAGACCCTCTGTAGGTGGGGTTGAGGTAGATGATTAAAAGAACTAGCTGGTAGTGAAGTGTCTGTTTCCTGTTGCAGTGCCTTCCATGAAACGGGTTCCAGGAGGCAAGCATAAAAATGTATGCTGAATTTTAATTGCTCCATATTCAAATACCTACCTATGATCTGTGGTCCTCACATTGGCCACAGCAGATGATATGGAGAGAATGATTATGATCGTTTCATTGTCATGATGGAGGGATGGCACCAAACACACTCCCAATCCCATGTGTCCCCTCACCCCTGCCCCTGGCAAAGTACCAGGAAGACTCTTTGGTCTGCAGTCCCAAAGCTCAGTCTCTAACTGTGTTATCAGCAAAAAAAAAGATAAGTCTTTAAAAACCTCTCCATTCTTCTCCACTCAACTCTGGTTAAAAGAGAAGAAGAGGACCATAAAATGTTACTACCCATAGTCACACACATCATCACTCCGTTTTAATTGTGAGCTTTGTACAAAATTTGTATTTTGTACTGAAAGTAAAGATAATGTGCATGTTGGTAAGGATGAAGAAAACCCTGGGAGCTCTCAGAGTGGAGCATGCTCACATTGGTTCCATAAATACACCTTCTCCTCCTCTACAGAACTGGCTCTGAGGACTCAAAGATATCCAGTGGATTATTCTTGTTTCCTCTGTTAGGAATACTGCCTTCAGATTCAGTTAGGTACCCACTTGGGTTTTTCTCTTACCCATGGAAGCTGGGGAAGGGGTTTGTGCTGGGAAATGGTGCTTCATCTGTGGAAGACTAGGGGTTACCGAAGTTTGGCCAGGTCCAACTATGCATTTGGACAATTACACTTTTCTTTCCTGTTCTGTATCTCTGCCGTGCCCTCACCACGTGTTGCTCACACTAGCAGCCCACCATCTCTGACAAAAGGATGGCCAGGGCCTAGCAAGGCTTTTGCTACAATTCTCTTGCTTTTTCCTTTTCAGTATTATTGCCCTAGAAAGACTGACTGGGTGCCTATGGCTTCTACAATGTACTCTGCTGGGTTCTGTCAATTCCTTCCCTCCACCACCCTCCTTAACAATAACTGGAGAAACCTCTAAGGGAGCAGTAGGGAAGAGGGAATGAGCAAGGAGAGGAAGGTCAGAGATAGCACTGATGACAATGGAGAGTACAGGAAGAGGCAGCAAGGCTGATATCCAGGGAGATAGAGTAGGAACAGTGAGGCAGGCAGGCTTAAGGTAGGTTAGATGTTCAGTCTCTAAAAAGGGTAACTGCTGGTTGAGGAAATTGGCCACTAGGTGGCAGTGGTACCTTGGTTGCGTGGTCTGAGATCTGCTCCTTGTTTACCACAAATGCAGCTGAATTCAATCAATATTGAACAGGGACATTACATCATTATCTCTATAGAGTTTTGAAGCAAAGCAACATCAGGTACCAAAGGCATCTTTATGTGTGCATTGTAAAGATTTCCAGTTATCCATGATTATAACTAGGGAACTGTAGATTTTGTTTAAGATTATTGTTTTATCCTTAAGATGGAGAGTCACAGCCTCAAAGAGTATTTACTTTTTTGCCATCATGCCTTTTGCATGAACATATGAAACTTAGATGTGTGACTCTGGATCAAGATGAAGCGTCCCTTCAGCCTAGGTGTTTCCTTTTTAGGTTAGGATTAGGTAAGCTTTGATTTGAGAGCAGCATACTGTTGGACACACTCTGTGTGTGTGTGTTTCCATGGGTTTCTAAAGCAATTTCTGCCTTGACTGGCTTCTGTGATGATTTCTTCAGAGTTGGGGAGGAGCCATAGTGACTCAAACACATTTGTTCCTCTAGGAGCTGTCACAGGGACTTAATTTAGACAAAAGAACACTCATAATTTTCCCCACCCTAATTTTAGTTGATAATGCAAAAAAAAAATCTAGACAATTAAATGAGTAGATTGATTTTGAACTTAACATATAAGACTTGAAGATAAAGCAATTGTAATGTTTTTCAAAATAAATGATTTTTAGAGACTTGGACTGTTACTATTCAGACGTAGGTAGAAAATCGTTTGGCTGAAGTTTCTTAGTAAGTTGCTGAAACTTAGGTCAGTCAGTTCTCTTTAGATGAACCCTTCAGAATTATATTTATTTTAAAATGAGAATTTAAATTCGAGGGAAAACCAGTTTCCTCACCTGCCAGAATTCTAATGCTGAACTGTGATGTCCTTTCTGAAGCACAGTGGGCTGTGGAGACGCATACAGTATGGGGTCTGAGCCGTCCCGCCTGCTGCTTTCTGGTCTACCCTCTGTGCTCTCTGCTTGGCCTCGCTTTCTCTTCTCTTTTCCATGTCTTTCTGCTTCCCACCATTTCCTCATCTCCACCTTTTACTTCCTCGCTGCTCTTGTTAGCTTTTATTTCTTCTTTTCTCTGCTTTTCCTCCTGTTTTATTTGCCCGTCCTCCATCTCCGTTGCACTTTCCCTTTGTTGAATTGCTCATATATACCAGCATGTAAGGAGTGTTAATTAGCTTATTTATTGGAAAGAGATGTCTGCATTTCATTAGTGATTATTAAATCCAGAAAAAAAAAAAGAATTTGTATATGACTTTCGAAAACAGCAATAGAAGTCACTAGTGATTTGCATGTTGTCCGGGAGCCCTGTTCCTACCGTGATGACTCAGGGGCATGTCTGCAGGGGCAAAGGAGTGGGAGAGCCTGCCTCCTGCCTCATGGTTGCTAAGGCTCTGTGGCCGTCCAGGATTGATGCAGAACCCTGATTCGTAGAGGTTTCAACAGCTCTGATTCTTAAGTGTCTCTCTGTCGTGGTTTATCAACCAGGCTGACTTGCTGCTTCTGTCCAGTAGTGAGCCTCACGGTCTCTGCTATGTTGAAACAGCTGAGCTCGATGGGTAAGTACTAAATCAGGACAGCCCATAGGCTGCTGTGTAACCCGGATGTCTTCAGAAGATAGACAAATCTTATTCTTTAGTTTCTTGTGAAACACAGAAATCTAAATTGTAAAGTCCTTGGCAGTCGTTTTGAAGCAGTTTTTCTCTTGAATTTATTTGGAAAATACTAACTTTTCCCTCTAGTGTAGTTTCTTCCAAAAACACTACGCAAAACATGTGAACATGAATAATGTCACACTAGGACCATTCAGTGAGGTTCTTTTTAGGGTTTTTGTTTGTTTTAATTTCATTTTCTAAGGAAAATGAGAGGGTGGGAATCAAGGTTCCTGAGAAGAAAGGCTGGTACAGCTGTAAAAGGCAAACAAAGACACAGAGAGACAAGGGAGATGTATATGATGAAGTTTTGATGCTGGCTTTGAGAGCCCAGATACTGACCACCTAGCAGTTACGTTTCAGAGATTCTGTTGTCTGGATGACGCCACTGGCTGCTCACTTTGTATTGGTACTATATCTGTGTATGTGCGAGGCTCAGATGGAGCGTTATAGAATACTGGTGTAGGTATTGGATGAGACCTACTGCAGGACATGACGCCAAGGCTCAGACAGCCAGGTAGCTTGTCAGACGGCAGGAGGCACACTGTTTTAGCCAGTGCCTTTCAAGTCCTTGTCATGTTGAGATACTGGAGCAGTTCAGCCTGTGTAACCCAGTGGATAGGTTCAGATCCAGCTAAAGCGGTGTTAAGAGGAGAATGGGTGGCATTGAAGTCATTCATGTACCAGAAGAGAACACGTTTCAAACCAATTGTCCACTCCATCTCAAGAATCTAGAAAGCTGCAAAATAAACCCCAAATTAAGAGCCAAACCCAACAAGCTATATACATAACAGGACAAAATGAAACAATGGGACACGGTTGGTACTATGAAAAACATCAATTAGTCTACAAACCTCAGTCAAGACTAACAAAGAGCAAGGAGAAAATACACAGCTTAGTGATATCCTTAGCAAATGGGAAATTGACAACACATCCTGAAAACAGCAGCTGGATCGGGAAGACATACTACAAACAGCTGTACACACATACATTTGACAACCTGGATGAAGTGGGCTAGTCCTTAAAACCCACACCATGCGCTCACTATGAAACAGAAAACTCAGATAGCCATATAAGTAATAAGGAAATTGCATTCAAATGTAAGGAATAAAACTATAAGAAATTTAGGCAAAAACATAGGAGAAAAATTTTGGCTAGTCAAAGAATTGTTAGACTGGACATAATAAGAGTTATTACAGAGATACAGAGATGGGCATTTAGCTCAATGGTAGAACACTTCCTTAAGTAGCACAAGGTCCTGGGCTGGTTTCTCTAGGAAGTGAGTGGAGACAGAGAACAGCTCTCTCTGTCTCTCTGTCTCTGTCTCTCTGTCTCTCTTTCACGCACGCACGCACACACACACTCACACACATACAGAGAGAGAGAGAGAGAGAACTTCACCTGAATTATCTTGAAGACATTAAAAAAAAAAAAAGAAAAAAAAGACGATTAAAAACAAGCATCCCTAGCTAGAAAACAGGCAAATGACATTAGTAAACTTGGGTAAAGAGATCACACAGGTAGCAAACAAGCACACGAAAAGCACATTAGTGACATAAAAGTTAATGACACAAGGCTCTCTTACACAGGTCTGTAAGAATGGCTAACATCAGCACGGTGACTGTACCAAAGCTGGCAAGGATTTGGAGAAGTAGAACTCCCTCACTTTACTGGAGGGAACACAAAGTTCAATATTCATTTTGGGAAAATAATGTCAGTTTCTTAAAAAAACTAAACATAAAATTACCACACAACTCAGCAAGTTCAAACTGGACTTTTAATCATAGGAGATAAATGAAATAAATTCAAAAACTCTGTAGCGAATACTTAGCATACATGCATTTCTTCCATCAGAAAAGAAACAACTGGGATATCTTCCAAGTGAATGGTTGAGAAAAACCGGGGCATCGTGGAACTGCTCAGTAACCAAAAGGAATAACTTATTAATAGATACAGGGATTGGGTGGATTCTTCAGAGAACTGTGCCAAGCAAAACCAGCTAGTCCTTAAGGTCACATGGTTTCATGGAAAACAAATTAGTGTTTGCTGAAGAGGGAGTGAGGGAAGTATTCTGGGGAAGCTGGTGTGGCACACTCCCTTTACCACAGTATAGGAGTGGGGGCCATATGTTCACCCCTGGTCATTAGCAGCAGAGTACTATCTAAATATGTGTGGGCTGTTCATGAGAAGAGCAACTCTCTGTGATCTTCCCAGCATGTTGGTTGTGCTGTTCAACATACAAGAGTTTCTTGGATTGACAGAAGAAGAAAAAGAAGAAGGAGGAGGAGGAGGAGGAGAAGAAGGCTGCATTATTTTCCCCACTAAAAATTCAGTTACTGTAAAAGTGGCCATGGCTATCTTTTGCAAACAAAACTCCATAGAGCAGCTGCTGGAGTGATACTGGCCTCCTTTTGGCACTGGTGTTTCTAGTTCTAATGTGTTTTATAACTCATATAGGATGTGTGAGTAGTTTTGGATGAGACCATATTTCTTCCCTTCTGTGTTCTTTTGAATGCAAATGCAAAGCAGACCTCTGTGTTGTTGCACAGATGTGCTGTGGGTGGAATGCCAGTGTCAGAATCCTGAGACACCCAGTTGCTTTGCTGAGATGGTGTGCAGGGTGTGAGTGGCATGGAAGCCACTCTGTGGGTCTCCTCAGTTACGTTTTGTGTGCTGTCCCCACACAGTAGCTTTAGTAAGGAGATGTTGGATTGTTCTGTACAAAAATTCATGTCATCTTTTTCATGTAACAGGGAAACAAACTTAAAAGTTCGTCAAGCTCTACCTGTCACCTCAGAACTTGGAGCAGATATTAGCAGCCTTGCAAAGTTTGATGGTAAGTGCTTTGAATAGGCAAAACAAACAAACAAACAAACAGACAGACAAAAAACAAAACTAAAAGAAGGCAGTGAAACAGCAAATTATCTGAGATTCCATTACATTTCTTTTTTCTTTCTTTTCCTTCCTTCCCTTCCCACCCTCCCTCCCTCCCTCCCTCCCTCCCTCCCTCCTTCTCTCTCTCTCTCTCTCTCTCTCTTTCTTTATTTCAGCTTACTGTTGGGAGAATGTAAAATCTGCAGGCATTAATGACTGTCATTTGTGCTCAAGCTAAAGACAAGCATGGCTTTATTAAGCTACCCCCTAGCTTGTCCTCATTCCCTTCTACCATTCTTTTGCTTCTTGGAGCTTGACACAGACTTCCTGAGGGTGAACAGGTTGGCCTTTTAGTTCCCATCCTAGGTTTGGCTTTTCATTCAATGGCTCTGTAACAAAACTGCTGCTTAGATGACGACACATGATGACAGGCCTCCTGCTTCACAAGCTTCTTTATTTTGTATAATGCATACTGTTTTGAAAGCAATAGGTGTTCTGTGAGAATATCCAAGTTACAGTCAGCCATCAGTTGCCTTAAGTTTTCACCATGGTTTCATCATCATCATCATCATCATCATCATTTTATTCAACCCAGACCTACTTCTTCAGTAGGTCCTTGCTTCTGGCTGTATCATGTGCTAATACTATTTTCTTTAGATCCATGGAAACCTCTAGATACCAGCTGCCTTAGATAGATGTATTTTATGGTTCCATGACCACAAAGGAATTCCTTCTAAAAGTAAAGGAAACGAGATACTACTTGTTTTATGCATCATGCTAAGGAGTCTGAGTCTTTGCTGCCACCTCTCAATAGTCTTTTGAATTACTCTCTTGCAAGTTTGGTTTTGGACACCATTATTTCCATATAGGTTGGTTTGATTTATCAAAGAGTCTTATGAATTTAAGTCTATCCTTCTGAAATGTTTTCTTTGGAATTTACTGAGAGATAATGACGATAAAAGGTCTTGGCAATGCCTCTTGAGTTAAAGGCCAGGCAAGTTTATAATGTGAATTTTCTCCAGCACACATTTCAGAATATATATGGTCTGTGCTTGGCATTTGCTTGTAAATTCTGCCTGGATTATGTTAATATTTTAATCTCTCTTAAATGACTGTTATTGTAATAAATGTTTATAGAAAAATATTCTTCCAAATTAAGATTTAATTTAGAGGAGTAGCCAGGAAACTTTGAATAGCTCAAGAAATATTTTGATTAGATTAAAACAAATTACAAATTTTCTAACCAAGTAATTTTTTTTCAATGAAATGTTACTGTTATGTGAATCCAAGAAAAGTAAATTGTATTCACAAATCAAAATACTTCTTAAAATACTATGTTGACTATTTATAGAGCCCTAAAAGGGTAACTTAAATATAATTTATCATTATTTACTTCTTTCATGGCAAAATTCTACATCTGTCAGCCTATAATGAGGTATGAATCTAAGACTTTTAGTTTTCTTAGCCATCAGAAAGTATAAAATGATTGTTTAATCATTTCCTTCCTTTAAATAGATTTTGGTACAGATAGCCTAGACTACAGCGCTGTTACGAGAAACCCTGAAATCTCAGTGGTGTGTACACAGTGAAAGTCTCTTACTGCTCATTTCAGTTCTGATGTGATTGGGGTAGATGGCCCCATTTTGTAGTCATGGATTGGACTAAGGGCGAAGGTGAGGTGAATGAGATGTAGTACCTTTTATTTATTCTTTTCTTCTTATATTTAATGAACCCCAATGTTACTTCAAGGAATATTAGGAGGTGACAAATGTGGTTATTTGTTGAGAGGTGCCTGTCATGACCACTTTGACTGCCATGCCTGCTACATCTGACACTGGCATCTTAGGATTTTCGAAGAGAAAATTACCTCCCTCCAGGTCAGAGGCCACACCTCTGCGACCCTCAGGGACTTCAGTCTCCAGTGTTGCAGGACCCATTTCTCAAGTTAGAGACCATGTCTCCTCTTCCTATTGGCATCCTACCCTGCTGTCTCAGGAACTGTGCAGAGTTCCTGCCACCCACTCAGGTCATATCCCTGTTGTCTTCTGAACCCTAACAATATTATCTTCCTGGCCAGCCCTTCCTTCCAGACAACCATTCTCTGCTCACTCAAGCAAGTGCCTGCTGATGAGATCAGCAATCTCGATATGACTTAGCTTATCTAGGATCAACTCACATTTAGATCAAGACTAACCTCAATTGAACTTAAAACCTCAACTAACTGATCCAGAACCAGCCAAGCCTGAGAACCAGCAAGCAGAGATGTAAACATCCATGCAACACAGGTGCATCAGAAACCTATACCAAAAGCTACAGCTGATGAAAGATGTGTAAGACAATACAAAAAACAAGATTAAAATGGGGAGATGGCTCAGTGGGTTGAGTGCTTGCTGCACAAATACGATGGGGGTTCCCTAGAACACACATAAAATTAACATGGGAATGGTGGCCCACCTCGATTCCAGCATGTGGGAGGCAGAAACAAGGAATTCTTGGAGCAAGCTGGACAGTCAGACTAATCTAGATAGGGAATTTTGGGTTCAGCAGGGACTCTGCCTAAACGTATACAAGTTGGAGCAATCTCCAACCTTCACACTTATGCACACAATCATGCACCAGCACATACATGAGCACACATACAGTCATGTACAGTACATATACATGGTCCCAAATGAAAGTTGTCTAGACAAAACTTCAGAAAAATAATAGAAAAAAAATATGTTCTAAGAATTCACAGAAGACCTGGATAAACTCTTGTAGAAATTTAAAGAAGACTGTAATAAAAATGCTGAATAAATTCCAAAAGCATATACACAAACAGTTACTGGAGTTAGGAAGTCAATTCAAGGTATGAGAATAAAATTCAGTGAAGAGATAGAATTGCTGAAAAAAAAAAGTGAAGTGAAATTAAGCTGGAAATGAAGAATTCCACAAGTGAAAGAGAGTGTAGTGGGAAGGCTTACTAAGGTATCCCAAGGACAGGAGAACATCAGGCTCAAAGGACAGAGAATTGATTATCCAAACAAATAAAATGAGTTCTTAGCCAGAGAGTTCCCAGAAATCTCCCAAACAACACAGACTATTGCCATCACTCATGGTTGCCAACAATAGAACCCTAGTGCTGAAGACACCTCATAGATTTGTTTATAGAACATAGAAAAATGAAGCTGGAATGATAGGTATTGGAAGGTGCTGTGTAGCATGTTGGAGAAAATCATCAATGATCTTACCCAGCTGTAGATTATGTGTGCAACAACACTCACCTGCCCAGAAACACATGCCCACTGGTACGAGAGTATTCTGGGGGCTACCAATTACTTTTTGGCTGAAGTTGAGATCTGGTCCATTGGAAGGAATCTGTGCTTGGTGCTAGCTAGAAGTTAGGGGGGTCACTGGCTCTAGAGTAAATCTATTGCTGAAGCTGGAAAATTGGGCATGTAGTTAAGCTGTCTCCTGAATATTTGTTTAAGCCCATAGACTAGTGCAGCCCTCAGCCTCTTCTAGCAGTGGGTGACTGTCAAAGCTGGGAGTCAACTGACCAAAGCGCTGAGGATAAGTGACTATTGAGTGCTCTGTCCCAAACAGGACATATGTGTCAACCCCTTCAAATTCTGAGAGCATTGCTGAAGAGAGGGAGGAGAGACTGTGAGAATCAGAGACTGGGGAGGAGTGCTGTGAAACACTTTCTTTGGGAAATGACCTGGGTGTTGCAAACATAAACAGACACCTGCACAGGACCTGTAGGTGTGCAGGACAGGAAAACATCATTGTGGAGGGGGCTAATCAGGAAGAAGGGGTCAGGAGGAGGATTAGAGGAATAAGAGGACAATGGGGTGCGCGCGCGCACGTGTGTGTTAATGCAATGTAGTCATTGTAAACCTGCATGCAAGGAACCCTGATTATGCTCACACCCCATTGTCATACAGTGCTAAAGAGTGTGGAGACAGTGAGTTCATATCTGTCCATCCATCCATCCATCCATCCATCCATCCATCCATCCATCCATTCCTTCAGCAAATGTGTATTTCATACAGTGCTAAAGAGTAGTAGACTAGACAGTAGTTCATAGGATCCAGGCCTTGTGTTCACAAAGCTTAAGGCACAGTAGAGAAGACAGACTTGTATTAGAGTGTTGTCAAACAAGCCTTTAACTGAGTGATTGATAACATTCTCAGGCCTGAAATACGATGTTGACATACAGGAACAAACACTCACTGTATATTGTATTAAATACATATAGCATTTTATACATTTTTGAGTCTGTCATATGTGTAAATGTGCATGCCTGCATGTGTGTGTGTGTTTGTATATACATTGGGTATTTTTCTCTATTGCTCTCATTTTTTTTTGAGACAGAGTCTTTTACTTAACCTGGAGCTTGCCAATTGGGTAGGCTGGCAGGCCAACAAACCCCAGGTCTTGGTCTCTACTTCAAAGTATAGGGATTATAGTCACATGATACCATGTGTTTTTTTCCCCTACTTGGGTACCAGAAATCCTAACTTAGATTCTTTATTTTTATTTTTATGTGCATTGCTGTTTGACATGCATGTCTTTGTGAATGTGTTGGATCCACTGAAACTTGAGTTACAGACAGTAGTGAGCTGCCATGTTGGTGCTGGGAATTGAACCCAGGTTCTCTGGAAAAGCAGCCAATGCTCTTAACTGCAGAGCCATTTCTCCAGTCCCCAGATCCATATTCTTTTATTTATTTATTTATTTATTTATTTATTATTTTGCATGTCGATCCCAGTTCCCTCTCCCTCCCTCCCTCCTTCCCTTTTACCCTCTCTGCCCCCTCACATGCACCCTGACCACCCTCCCATCCCATCCCCCCACCCCAATTCCACATGTAGGGCAATGCCATCCAGGTGGGGTCATGTAGGTCTGTCAGGTCATTTGAAGTAGCAACTAGGACTTTTCTCCTGTCTCTAGGTTAAGGCATTGCCTTAAGGGGGATGTGGTCACAAGGTCCTTTTGTGCACCAGGGATACATTCTGGTTCCACTGTCTGAGGTCCCTTAGACTGCTTAGACCTTCTGGCTGAGACCCATATTCAGGGGGGCCTGAGTCAGTCCCACCCAGATCCATATTCTTGTGCAGTAAGTGCTTTAACCTTTGAGCCATCTCCCCAGTGCCATCTTTATAGTCTCTGAAGGAAAAATTATCACTAGCTCCTATTTGAACCGGAGACCCAGGTTAATAGAATGGTCCCATCATGTGGCTGTTAAGTAGAGGAGTCAGAATGCAAACCAAAGTCTGATGGAAAACCCTGCCCTAACAAAGACCAACAGAGGCTGTGTATCACAGTTTAACTTCTGAGAGGATGAAAAATGTTTCAATGTAAGGTAAATTGAAAAGAACAAAACTAAGTATAAAAAAAAATCAAAGCCATTCAAGATGATGTTGTCACATTTTTGAAAAGGTATCAAAGTTCTCAGTAATTTAGAATTCCATCAGGATAGAGAATTTAGAGATGCTGTCCAAACAGACAAGTGTATTTGAGACAGGAGCAGGTTTGAGTAGGTGAATCTGTTTATTTGAAGAGTTCTCATACAAATAAATATTTTTTTTCTATTTCAAGTGTCTGAATAATCAATACATAATCAAACTCCATAAGGAAAAATAATTTGATCTAATATAATAAATATAAAAATACTTGAATTTGACAAGGCTTTTCACGTTAAGTTTTATAGGAATCAAACAACATTTATACCTGGAAATATTTGTTTATCACACATTTGTAAACCAGACATTTTTATGCCTTGGGGAAATCCCCTAATATACATGTGTTCAAGAATTTTTTTGTATATTGTTACTGACTGGACTGTGGTCTGTGTTTTGCAACGAGTGACAGGTTTACATATTTTGTGTGACTGTTAATACCCGTCTGAACCAGAGAAGGATTGACTCTTTAGTTAAGAATCTTTGTGTATTTTGTGGTCTTTTACTAAAGAATAGCATGTGTGTAATTAAAACAAAGAAAATGACATCTTCTTGGCTAAAATTATTAAGTAAGTAAGTAAGTAAATAAGTGAGTGAGTGAGTGAGTAAATAAGTAAATGGGCTTGGTTAGCACCTTGTAGCTACAGAATTTACCAGATAACTCTTCCACTCAAATGGATGGATGCACAGTCCATCACAGCACAACTGATAGATAGGATTCCATTAAAAGACACAAAGAATCATTTCTGTTTGACTGGTGATGCTAATATGGTTATTGTGGTGTTAATGTTGGGTGGCTGCTGACTTAATATTAAGAAAGTTGTGTGAGGTCTTGGTTTCCAAGAACTCAAATAAAACCCCTTGGCTTTAAAAATTATGGTTATTTTTGTTTTGTTTTTCTGGACAGGGTTTCTCTGTATTGCTTTGGAGCCTGTCCTGGAACTAGTTCTGTAGATCTGGCTGGCCTCAAACTCACAGAGATCTGCCTGTCTCTGCCTCCCGAGTGCTGGGATTAAAGGCCTATGCCACCAACGCCCAGCTGGCTTTAGAAAGTATGAAGATGACATTTTCTTCCTTCCTTCCTTCCTTCCTTCCTTCCTTCCTTCCTTCCTTCCCTCCCTCCCTCCCTCCCTCCCTCCCTCCCTCCCTTCCTTCCTTCAACTCCCCCTCCCTCCCTCTTGACTAGGCTGGCCTCAAACTCACAGAGATTCACCTCTTTCTCTCTCTGCTTTCTAGGGAAAGAGATAGTCACCTCATTAGTTAGCACAGCAGTAGTTGGGTAATCGCCTAAACATCAAGAAGTTCTTGGCTAGTGAACTTCTCGACTAGCAATGATGGTGCCTTGTCCAGTGTCCAGCCTGTCCTATGGAAGAGTTGCAGTGTGGACAAGCAAAGAATATCACTAATAATGTGCAGAAAGAAGCAAAGCTTCTTAGTTTTGGAAAATCATGGGACATTTTTCTTATAATTTTCACTCATAAACTACATATTTCCTCCTTGAGTAAATAGTTGAAGAAACTTATCAAATTGTTAGTTACCCAATAATCCAGCAGGCTGAATTTAGAATTTAAAATACCAAGGAATGTTCAAAATGAGAACTTGTAGCTTTTGTGCAGTATAGGTATTTCTCTATCATTATAAAATGTATGAACTACTAAGTGTTTTCATGTCTTTTCTCTTCAGAAGGGGGAAATGAGAGTAACCACCTTGATTATGTTTACACTTAATCATTCAGATGACCCCTCTCCCTACCAAATTGTATCATTTCCAACTAAGACGACCATGTGAGAAATGATTTTATTTTCTCCAAATGGTTTTCTTATCCTTTCCAGCCATTTATCATCTCTTCTTCTAATAGAATTAGAAAGAAGAAAGCAAGGTCTCAGGAGAGTCTCCCTTGATTCTTATGCTTTGTGGGTGGGGAATATTTTTGCTTATTTTTGATGTGCTTTAAGGTGCCTATCTGTTTTCATCATTCTCTTTGGCTTCTATTACAGTTAGGTCATACCAAGATATTTGGTATTTGAGTTCCCATTTTCATGATATCGACCTTTTCATTTATCATAGATTTGCTATAATACTTATGTCATCTCTCAACCCCTTTCCTATTGAAAGAAAATTATGTGATTGAGTGTTTTACCTGCATGTATATAGGAGTCCCATGTATGCACCTGGTGCCCTTAAATGCAGAAGAAGCCATCAGATACCAACCCTGAAACTGGAGTTATAGTTGCGGTTTGAGTGCAGGGAACGGAACATAAGTCCTTTGCAAGTGCAGCAAGTTTTCTTAGCCATGAACACATCTGTTCAGCCTCATAATCCCCAAGTATCTCTCCAACAAATATTTTTATAATTTTAATTGGAGACAGTATGGTAGGTTGTGGGAATACATAGAAATGTGTGTAGTGTTTCCCACAAAGGAAGCTGGTAGCCCATTTGGAAAGAGTAGAAGAGAAATGGGAACATTAATGTTTAATGCCAATGGAGCTGAGAAAGGGGAAACAGCATTTTTATCAGTTAAAAAATACTTTGGCTTTGTGCCCAGGGTTTTGTTGTGATGGAACCCTGTGTTTACTATTTTGAGATCTGGGGCCACACTATTAGGAAGCTGTGCTGGGGCTTTCTTGCTCTCCAGGAGCTCATATAGAACTTGGCCCTATAGTCCCTGGCAGAAAGGCAACATCAATATCAGGCTAGATGTGGGCACATGTTCTTTCTGGAAATAGTGAGCCAAAATATTCAAGGTTGAATTTACCTCCCTGTCAACCTTTGTTTATGACAATGAAAATGATCAAACGAATGCTTTTTATATTGTTATTGGCAAGGAACCATAAATCATGTTGTTTTTGCCCAAATCACATTTTTTTTTTTTTTTGAATCATGGCCAAATTTGAAGTTTGAGTATTAGGTGAGGAAATTAAGATAATTTTTAAGGGCTCCTGTCAGCCTGTTATTTGTGCAAGTTTTGCTGGTGAGGCCCATTCAATTCAAGGTTATGTGAAACTCAGACATGTGAAAATTATTGGTCAAGGAAAAGATGATCACAAAATCTGAGAATTCAGAAAAAGCTCTGGATCCACAATGTAGTGTTCTAAAGAACGTTAACCAGTTGAAACTCCTTTTAATTTACTTTTTAATAAACAGGTAAGATGTAATAAGAGCTAATTGCAATTTAGTTACTTGGTCTAAGAAACAACCTTGTACAGGCTGTTTGTTTCAGTGAAACCCAAGCTAGCAGGCTCTTCTTTAGCACTGGATGCCTGGGAAGGCCCACAGAATGACCAAATGGAGGTCTTTTCTTTTCTAATTAGGAAATGGTAAGGAGAGGTTACAGAAGGTGCCATTTGTAATTTGAAATATGACCAGCCTTTCTGGTCAGGAGTCATCAGGCTCCTTGATTCACAGCTGTAGCTGTGGCTGTGATTTGAAAAGGAAACCAGCATTCCAGAAAGGGAAGAAACCCTGGAAAAAAAGTTTTCAGTATCAGAAGGTGGCTTAGAGAGAGGATTGGTCCCTACCTACTATGCTTTAGAACTTAAGTCTTAGGTGAAGACACAATGCCCAGTGTTACTGTGTGGTGGTAGAATTGTAAGATTCATGACCTAGAGGGAGGATTGAGTCTTAGTAGTATGCCCTTGAAAGTACTGTAGGAGAAGCCAATCACTTTTCACACACTCCTACTCTAACGCGCCACCACAGATTCAAAAGATTGGAACCAATTGGTTTTGAACAGAAAGCTCCAAAGCTATTATATTTATTTATTTGGTTTCATTTGGCAGTTTACAGTAAGTAAAATGACAAAATATGGACATTTGTCATTTTATATTTGTAAAAAGTCACTTTAATATATCCTAAGATTAAAAATTGGTACTTTGAAATATTCTTAAGGGTAAAAAAAAAAAAAAAAAAACTCATGGTTCTTAGGGCTCTGTTCTTATTGGTCAGAGTAGACAGTCCTGCTTAGAAATATTTGATGGATTTCCATTTTCACATGTTTCAGCTTACTACTTCCCAACACAAATCCTGCATGTGTAACAGTATGCTTTCTAAAAGGGAAGGACAGTGCATTGCACATTAGTGGTTGGGTGATGAAGTGAGTTTGCAGGGAGTCTAAAGAGGCTTGCTTCTTTTCCAGGGGTTGTCATCTGTGAGGCACCTAACAACAAACTAGACAAGTTCTCTGGAGTCCTCTCTTGGAAGGAAAACAAGCACACCCTCAGCAACCAGAAGATAATCCTGAGAGGCTGTGTCCTGAGGAATACCAGCTGGTGCTTTGGAATGGTTCTTTTTGCAGGTACAGCGTATAGTCCAGGGCCATCTCTGCTCTGTCCCTTCCTACAGTCATTTTAGTTCATGATTCTCTATGGATGTGGACATGCACAGTTTTTATTGAATGCCAAGTGCTGGCTCCTGAGTTCACCCTACAGTGGGTTTCCTTAGAGGAGACAGCTGTGCTCTGAGTATAATCCACATGGTTCCAGCTTGTGGGAACCACTGATAACTTGAATTCATTCTTAAGGATGCTGAAACCTTCAGTACCTGATGCTACCTAAACTTTTACTGCTCAGTTTCTTTCTCTTTAGTCCTGTCATTTGCATCTATCAGTCTAGGCAGTAACCTGCCCTTAAAACCAAAGATCTATAAGAAAGAGGGCCCCTCCTCATACTGCAGCTCACATTGGGAAAGGTCAGGAGGCTCTTTTGAGAAAGCCTTCTTGGTGAGTTATCATTATGTTTGTCACCAGGGCATATGGGTGTTATGAGTATGTTTTCTGCCGGTCTGGTCCCACTGCCATGCCAGCCCCAATTAATACACAGAGATGCTGTATTTGATATAAAGTTGTAGGCCAGTTACTAGTTTCTTATTGGATAGCTCTGTCTTAAATATTAACTCATTTCGATTAATCTAAGTATTTCCCCATGGTCTTATCTTACCGGAGAGAGAGCCCAGCGTACTACCCTGTAGATCCTCCATCTTGAATTTCCTCGCTACTATTTCCTCTTTCCTCCTAGTTTCCTTGTCCCACCTATTTTGCTTTCCTGTTGGCCAACAGTGCTTTATTCATTAACCAATAAGAGAAACATATTTACAGAATGATATCTCCCATCAGATGGGTCTGAAGGCTGTGCTTCATGGAGGAATGGAAGGATGGAGGGAGGGATGGAAAATGGTAACTTTTCCTTATTTGGTTTTGTTTGTTCCTCACATTCAATATATCAAACCCCAGTTGTTTACCCTTTCTACTCCTCCCAGGCTTCTCTCCCAGATCCACTCCGTTTTCCTTCAGAAAAGAGCAGGCCTCCCAGGGACATCAACTGAACATGACATAACAAGATGCAGTGAGACTAAGCATAAACCTTCATATCAAGGCTGGTCCAGACAGCCTAGTAAGGGGAAAAGGGCCCCAAGATCAGGCTACAGAGTCAAAGACACACACTGTTAGGAGCTTCACAAAACCCCAAGCTAAATAATCATAGCATGTATTTAGAGGATCTAGTACAGACCCACGTAGGGTCTGCAATTGGCGCTTCATATCTCTGCGAGCTCTCATAAGCCCTGCTTAGTTGATTTTGTGGGTTGTGTTCTTGTGGTGGTCTAGACCCCTCTGGCTACTACAATTCTTCATCCCCCTCTTCTGTGGGGTTCCCTAATCTCAGCCTAAAGTTTGTCTGTGCCTCTCTGCATCTGTTCCCATCAGCTGCCAGAGGAAGCTTCTCTGATGATGATTGGGCCAGGCACCAACTTATGAGTATAGCAGAACATCATTAGGAATCATTTCATTGACTGTCCCCAACCAACAAGTTGTGTTTGGTTCTACCCTAGATCTCTGGACCATCCAGCTTCTGGTTCTATGCCATACAGGCAATGTCCAGCATGGGCTCCCTCTTGTAGCATGGGTCTCAAGTTAGACCAGTCACTGGTTGGCCACTCCCAGAAGCTCTGAGTCACCATTATCCCAGCACATTTTTTCAGCAAAGGCTGGCTGTGGGTCATGGGTTTTGAGACTGGGTTGATGGTTCAGTCCTACCACTGGGTGCCTAGCCTGGTTACAGAAGATGGTTGGTTCAGGGTTCATATCCTTCATTACTAAGCATCCTCACTAGAGTCACCCTCATGGGTTCCAGTCACTGCACTAGGTTTCCATTTCCCCCCCTATGTGCCCACTCATCCAGTAGTCTTTCCCCATAACTTTACCTTCCATCCTCCATTCTGATTGGACCCCTTCTTTTCCCATCCCCAACTTTCCCCATTCCCTCCAGAAAAATCTATTTCCACTTCCCAGGGAGATCCATGTGTCCTACTAGAGCTCTCTTTGTTATTTAGCCTCTCTGGGTCTGTGGACTGTAGTATAATTATCCTTTATTTAACAGCTAATATCCACTTATAAGTGAGTACATATCAGGTTTATCTTTCTGGGTTTGGGTTGCCTCACTCAGGTGATTTTTTTTCTAATCAGCAAGTTTCATGATGTCATTTTCTTTTTTAATAGCTGAGTAGGACTCCATTGTATAAATTACCACATTTTCTTTATCCATTCTTCAGTTAAGGGACATCTAGGCTGTTTCCAGTTTTTGGCTATTGTGAATAAAGCCTCTGTGCACATAGTTGAGCAAGTGTGCTTGTGGTAGGATGGGTGTCTTTTGCCTATCCAATGTTTTTGCTTTCTTTATCTCTGTGACTCTGAGGTAGCATTCTTCTCAGGAACAATAGCATAAGCTGACAGAGCCACCCAGATTGTACTTATAGCTTCATTTTCTAGCCCTGGATAAAAAAACTCCCGTTTATTGTGACATCAAATTAAGATGTGTTTTGTGTCTGTTGATTATATGTGTAATTGAAATTGGATTATTTTTCTTAGTTGACTTTTCTTAACAACAACAAATTTTCATTAAAGGCTCAATGTGTTTCAAAGCCAGGAAAAGTCCTTCTTGTTGCTTCTAAATACCTTCAGCTGTGGGTGTGAGCATTATTTCTCTCTCAGGGCATTGCCATGTATAGAGATCTAGAAAATCTCTAAGTGAAGCAGAATTATGCTTTTGTCTGAGTCTGAACCTAGTTTCATGTTTCTTTCATCAGATTATTTTCATTAGTGAGATAAGTCTGTCTATGGTTATTTATGTCATATTTCCTTCTTTCCTGCAAAGAAAAAGCCAAGCCTACCTATATGTTTCTTTTACTTTAAATTAAAAGTATGGAGAGTTCAATACAGACCCGAAGGTCTCCTATCAATAGTCTCTTGTTTTGATCCCTGTTATCAGTGAAGTGGAGATGTCTTATCCTAGTCCTAGTGATGGGCTGTCATTCAAAAGTTCCTTACATTTGTATAATCTTGTTCAGTATGACTAGTTCAAGGCTCTAGTTCAACTGAGTCACATTATGTGTGCTAAGACAGCTGTTGAGAGCCGCTCCTGATAGCTGTTAAGGGGGCCAAGGTTTTCATAATAATGTCTCTGTGGGAAGGCTATTTTATGTGAATAGAAGGAGATGAGTTGAACAGAAGTTCATAGACTAGGGATGAGGCAGGTGTGGGGGCAGACCAGGCAGAGAATCCTTGCTCTGAGACGTCTAGGCTCTTCCTTCTGTGGAACACAGGGTAACAATGAACACACTAGAACACACCTCTTGGATGCAATGGGATGTGTATGGAAGAGGGTACTTGTTGATATTTTTTTCCATGCCTACTTTTCAATTCTTTTATCATCAGTTCAGAGCACACTGACATCTCTGTGGGCTGAGCTGGGAAAAAGAAATATTCTCTGTATTTTGGTGGAGGAGAGAAGGAACTCTCTGTTCTTTTGTGCTGCATCTGGATGTTCACTTTTAGAGGGTATTTGTCAGGAAGACATTTGTAAAGTACACAGTGTTTGCATTGACTTTAGTTAAGAGAGAGCTTAACTAGAATACTGGCAAGGGGAAGAATTCAGGGTTGATTTTGTCCATGTCAGAATTGGACAGAATGGTTATTCTGAGTCCCTAAGTCTTGAGACATTTGATTAGGAACCAAATTCTAGGCAGTACTTAGATCTTGTGAAAATTGAACCCAAAATGAATCATTAACTCTTCTTTTTATATTTAAATGCCTCTTATATATCCTGTTTAGGATGTGCAAAGATGGAGTTCAGAGGCTTGGTTTACTTTAGAAATATGTCACTCACAAGGTTAACACACATAGACACCTTGTGTTGTTCCCATGCTACTGGCTTTCCTTTGTGTTCAAGAGGGAGCAAAGCTTGTTCCTGATAGGAGGGACAATACTCACTCAAGGAGTCTGCAGAGCTCTGTGCCATCTTAGTGTATATAAAGTCTGGGTGCTGGATGCCATTCATTTGCCCTTTGAGGTTTTACCTCATCATTTTCCAACCTTCATTTTGCTTTGCATGCTGGTACATGTAGTTGATATTCACAATTTTCCTTAATTTTTGGCTTTTGTTTTGGTGAGTTTGGAAAGAAACCAAAAGGATAAAAATTATTAAATTCTAGTATTTATTCACCAACTCTACATTTCTATATAGTTATTTCAAATCGGTTGGGTCCTTCAACATAAAGTCACCCTTGTAAAGGCTGCAAACCTAGAGCTCCCACCTTTAGGATCCAATAATATGCCTTCCTGCATCACCTTAGCTTAGGTGGAGAAACAGTTGGATTGCTAGTAAGCCTCCTGTCTGTATTAGTCTTTTGCTTCCAATATGCCCCACCCATACTTTATAGAATTTCTACATAAACTTTTTTTTTGATTTGTATTTTCTTTATTACTAGTAACAGTGAAAAGTTTTGTGATATTCCTTAGTCATTTTTTCTCTTCTTCTGAGAACTCTCTTCTTAGGTCCCATTTTTCAAATGCAGTTTTTTCTTTTGTTTTGTTTTCATTCTTTGTTTCTTGAGTTCTTTATATATTCTGTGTATTAATCCTCTGTCAAATTTATAACTGGTAAAGATTCTCTCCCATTCTCTGGTATTTCTTTTCACCCAGTTGATTGTTTCTTCTTTTTTTAAAATTTAATTTATTATTTTACATGTCGATCCCAGTTCCCCCTCTGTCCCTCCCTCCGTCCCCCTCCCTCCCTTACTTTTACCCTCACTGCCCTCTCACATGCACCCTATCCACCCTCCCCTCCCATCCCGTGCCAGATCTACATAAACTTTTCTACACACTTTTACTCATGTAGTTGTAAGTCTTGTATGATAGAAATTATTTGATACTGTTAATATGCTACTTCCAGACAATTATGATGGTGATTATATAATCTCAGACAGAGGTGAGTGCTGATTAAAAGACCAGGTATTCACAAGGAAGAAGATAACGAGATTGTGACTTTGGGAAAGTTTTCCTGAACTGATTTTTGTGGACTAATACAAACAAAAATGAAGAGTTAGGGAAGTGGAAGGAAGCAGAGAGTATAAGGTTGGCAAGGCATGGGCCAAGGTGTTGTGGGATAAGTCAAGTCGGAACCTTCAGAGTTCAGATGGGGAGCAGACAGTACAAAGGGTGTTCATGGGAATGTGACTGGGTTGTGGGGAGCAGCTGGGCTGTGCATACACCGTGATTTATGTGTAAAAGTTAGGTCTTTATCCCAGGAGCTTGGGGGAAACCATCAAGAGTGGTTAAGAGGCAGAATATATATTAAACATTAAGAATAAATATATAGGAAGGATGGACTTTTACCTATACTGTATATAACATTTGTAAATGTACAGTAGGTCCTGAAATGAGTGCACAGTTGGGGTATGAGATGCAGGACATATTGATTAGTAGTCAGGACAGAGCAGATACAGGGAAGCAAAGGTACTAGGAATTTTTTTTAATTAAATTTTTTTAAACCAAGAATTTGTAAATAAAAAAATTACATGCCAAAATTAACCAAACCAAAAGTCATTAAGTCTCTGCCTACTTCTGTGCAATTAGAAAATTGCAATTTGAAGCTGAGGAGCCTGGTGATGAGGCTTTTTTCAGTTAGTAGATGATGGTATTTTACACCAAGATAGGGACTGTGAAAGTAGAGATGATGGAATGTCAGAAGCTTCTCAGAAAGTTGAATGTAGAAACTTTACTGACCAGATTTAAAGGTGGAAATAAGGCTTGTTATCTATGATGATTCTTTGTTGTTGTTATATTCTGTGTTCAAGGAATCATTTCAATTTTCCTCTATTTTTTAAGATTTGCTTTGAGTCCTAATTGATGATTATTTTAGAGACTAGTCTATGGGTTGCTGAAAAAGCATGGATTCTTCACTGTTGAGGTGGAATATTCTGTAGATGTTTGTTAATTCCATTTGATCTATGATGCTATTTAATTTGGCATCTCTCTCTCTCTCTCTCTCTCTCTCTCTCTCTCTCTCTGTTTTGGTTATGAGCCTAGCCTTTAACAGCTGAGCCATCTCTCCAGCCCTATTTATATTTTGTCAGGACGGTCTGTTAGTTGGTAAGAGCAGGGAGTTAGATTTACCTATTACTATTTGGCTGAGCTTATCTGTGACTTTACATGTAATGATTTTTGTTTAATGAAATTGTGTGTTTTGTCTTCAGGACATGTATGTTTAGAATGATAATAATCCCTTTATGGGTTTTCCCCTTAATCAATATAAAATGAGTTTATGTTTCTCACTAGTTTGGGTTTGAAGTTTATTTAGCCAGATATTAAAACAGTAACACCTGGATGTTTTGTAGGTTCCTTTTGACTGGAATATACTTCTCGTCCTTTAACCCTAAAGTAGTTTGTCTTTTGTGGCAGGTTTGTTTCTGAAAAGAAGAAAACAAATGATTCCTGCTTTTTGAGCCAGTCTACTAGCCTGTGCCTTTTGATTGGGGAATTTGTAACATTCAGAGTTAATATTGCTATATTGTTCCAGCCATTATTAGATTGGTTTATTTTTTCAAAATTGTTATTTTTCTTTTATAGGTCCTGACACTAAACTAATGCAGAACAGTGGTAAGACAAAGTTTAAAAGGACAAGCATTGACAGACTAATGAATACCCTAGTCCTGTGGGTAAGTCTCTGATAGGTTGATGAGTACTCTTGTGCTATGAGTGAGCCATTAGGAGGTTGACAATTACTCGGCTAGTACTCCGGGAGAGTCCCTGGCAAGTTTGTGAGCAATCTGGTGCTATAGATGCATCACTGATTGAATTAGGCAATGTCACTGGTCATTGCTATCTTAATATACTTAATTTGCTTTTCAGAGAATTCACTCAGAAGTCTAAACTCTTTTTGAAACTTATATTGTATATTTTATATTTAGGGCTCAGTTTATTCACTTCTATTTCATAGATTAAAATAAATTATCAGCAAGTGGTAGGATATAATGTGAGAGGTAGCCTAGTTTTTATACAAGGCCTTTGTCTTCAAGTCTTTGTGTTTGGAAAACTAAATCATTTTCCCCCTTAAGTGCTGTCTATTGAATTTATTTTGTTGATAGAAAATGGTGACACCCAGGCTCATTGCTCCCCCTACCATCACTGGCACAGACACTCCCCTTTGTGTATGGTTACTTTTGGCCTTCTTGCTTTTCAAGCATTACTGAGGTATAAAACTAAATCATTTTGGAGATATGTAAAATCTTATCTTTGCTCAAACCTTCTTTACATAGCTGTGGATAATGGTGGCGTCACTGGTATCTGATCTGTTATAAATGGCTCTATTCTCATAAAAGTCAGGTTTATTGATTTACTATTGCTGTTTAGAAATTCTGATATTTTTTAAACAAGGACTTATGTTTTTGTTTTACATTGCACCCTGCCAACTTTGGAGCGGACTTTCCTTAGGAAGTCTCTACTTTCTAAGTCATAGCTGTCCTTCCTCATGGAAGTGCCTAGATCTCATTAGTTCATAATTTTCTTTCTCTGATGAGGCTTGGTTTTTCTCTTCTCAGTTTTGAAGGAAAATGAGTAGAAACTACCACTTGTTTAGTTCAAACATGTACTTCTTCTTACATTCCATCCCTTTAGCAGCTAAGTTTGTTTTATCTCATACTATTGATCTCATCATTTTCTTACTTGTGTCCTAAGGATTTGTTCATTTATGAGATACTTGATTTGAAAACTACTTTAACTTTGAAATGCAAGGACAGAAACATTGAAGCATGTTTCCTAGTACCTTATCACGGACTTTCCAAGAGTCTTAAAGAATCTAAGCTCTAATGTATTTGCTTAATTGACATATAATGTAATAGCTTGACTCTGAATAGGAGAAGAAAATGAACACTGACTGAATACAAATATTAATAAGACTATGCTTTGCTTTACATATCACAGTCCAACACATTCACCCCCTTGGCTTAGGGTTCCTGGAATGGAGGTGGTATGTTTACAAGGAATCTTATCCACTCTAAGAATTTCCAATTTAAATGGCTCTAACCCCCTTCTGGGGTTTGAATTGTCTATCTATCTATCTATCTATCTATCTATCTATCTATCTATCTCCTATCTAATATATCTATAATCTATTATCTATCCTACCTACCTACCTACCTATTTACCATCTATCATATATCCTATTATATATAATCTATTATCTATCCTATCTATCTACCTCAGGGTAAAGTCATTGCCTTGGAAGCTGGCACTGCCCTTCATTTCTGTGGTAGAAATAGGATGATTTTTGGGGGGATTTAAAAGATAAATCCATTCTTAAGTTAGGATACTTATTGTGAAACATCATTAATTGTAATGGTTTAAAGTAATATAAAGTAATTTATATTAACAATCATTAAAAGGAGAAGATATGGTGATACAGATACCAAATTGGTAAGGTATAGGGGATGCAATTTAATTTTTCTCTCATGTCTAGTTTTGCTAATATATCTTCAGTAACGTTTTCTTCAACTCTGTCTTCATATGCTCCTATTGTATTCATGATTATGAAGAAGAAAACAGTTCTAGACTGCAGAAATAATCCTTTTTGGAGAAAAATTTCCACATTCCTACTTTGTAGATCCATTTCTGCCTTGATAGTGGCTAATTATGAGCTCCCTTAGCAGAACAAATCTTTACAAATTCATTTGCAAGACACTGCATTTGTGTCCATCTGTGAGACTGTGGGTATAGACTCACTGATGACTTACTTCATTGTCTCTCTGACTGACGAACTTCTAGACTGTTTTTCTAATTCGGAGAGTAATGGTGATGTTAAAATCTGGCATGTATTTTTACCTTGCCTCCCACTTAGTATCTATATCATAAGGTGCGTTGGTTCATCCTTCTATTTTTTTGTTGTCTGTAAGGATCTGTGGACGTATCTACAGCTAAGCGTTCTGACATGTGTGAGATGATGAAGGAAGCATCAGTCAGGGTGCTAGTTGCTAATCTTGTTGCTGTGATCAAACACCTGGCAAAACCACTTGAAAGAAGAATTTAGTTTGGTTCACATCTCTGGGGATGCAGTCAGTCACAGTGGTGGAGGTGTGTCCGCAGGAGGAGGCTGGCCACATTGAATTGGCCATTGTGGAGTAATAGTGAAAGCACGACAGCAGGAGGCAGCTGGCCACATGGCACTCACACTTAGTGAGCAGAGAGAGATGGCTGCTGGTGCTCAGCTTGCTTCATCCTTTAAATAGTCTGGGAGCACCTGCTGGTGGAGCGTGGCTGCCCATATGTGGGTGGGTCTTCCCTCTTCAGTTAATCCAGTCTAGTCATTCCTTACTGACTTGCCTACAGGCTTGTTTCCATGGTGACTCTAAAGTCCATCACACTGTCAGTAGAGGTGAACTTTTACAGTAATTACAGCTGGGCAGCAGATGTAACCTGGGTCCTTCCAGGGCACTGAGGGCACACGGTCTTCTGGACTTCAAGCATTGAAGCATGTGATTTGTTAGGGAGTACGGATGTGTAGCTACCTAAGTGACAGAGGCCAATCTGCAGCATAGTCTTTTCTGTGCTTATTCTTTAGTTTTTAATATGTGGTGGATAATGGTATCTGCCTCAGAGAGAGAGAGAGAGAGAGAGAGAGAGAGAGAGAGAGAGAGAGAGAGAAAATTAAGTAAGAAAATATATGTCAGATATTTAGCTATATGTATTTTATTCTCATGCTTTATTGTAAGTAAGAAAAAGGTTTATGTAACTTGATTTTCAAATGGCAATTTCTTATGGGAAATTAACTTGTAGTTATATTGTGTTGATTTGACTAATTTAGGGTTCACATTCACCTTAACCAGACTTCTATACTTCTATTCTTGTTTCAGATCTTTGGATTTCTGGTATGCCTGGGAATTACTCTTGCAGTAGGAAATTCAATATGGCAAAGTGAAGTTGGGGACCAGTTCAGAACTTTCCTCTTCTGGAGAGAAGGCGAGAAGAGTTCTTTGCTCTCAGGATTCTTAACTTTCTGGTCATACATTATCATCCTCAACACGCTTGTCCCCATTTCATTATATGTGAGGTGAGATGAGAGTTTATGCTACAGTGAAATTGTTTCATCATTCACCCTGTGTATGATCTGCTACATGTGCTAGGAATGAGGTGACTTAGCTCTTTAATTCTATTTTACTTGAACTTTTTTTTTGAATTACAGTAAATATGTTTTATTTTTTCCTTGGTTAGTAAGGTTTCTCAGGGATGAATTTCTTTGGAAAATCTGCCACAAGCTCATGTAATCTGATCAGTAAAATTGATCTGGTCTAAGGTAAGAAAAAGAAAACCTGAGATATTTTGAGACGTGGCCTCCCTGTCATTGGTCTGTCTCAAGTACCAGGACACAGGTGCTGTTCTACTATTCACTAGATCTGTAATGTTGTGAAAATTACCTTATTATTGGCAGCCATTGTAAATACAGAAAGGACTCAAAGTAAAGTAGGTGGTTGCACCTGGCCATTGTTAGGTAAGTATGGGTCATCTTTCCCACTATCCTGTTCTATGGTTTCTAGATTTAGTCCTACAGAGTGATGTAAAATAGTCTGTCATTGTCCGTAGCTACCTTCATCTTTCTCATGTATGTATTCTCTCTTTCCCTCTCTGTGTCTGTTTGCTCTCTGTGTATGTGTTCTCTTTCTCCAAACATATGTTCATTTTTCTCTCTGCTTCCTTCTCTCCTTTCTCTGTATGTGTATGTGTGTGTGTTCAATAAGGCTTAGATAAGTCTACCTGAGACATTCTCTATCCCAATTCTTCCAAGACTGAGTCAGATAGTTCCAGAGATCCTGTAGCCAAGATAGGACTTGGTTGTTTGCCACTCCTTGCCATCATTACTTTAACAGCATACAAAGCCATCAGCTCTGGATCTCTACTAATTATGACTAATCTCTCTTTTCTCTTTCCAAAAACTAAGTTTCAATGAAACAAGGGAGGTTACTAAACAAAATTCTTGTTTTGGATAGAAGTCAGGAAACTGATATGTCAAGTTATGGGAAATTGACTTGAAGTAGAGGCATGTGGCCACAACACCACAAATTACTCTAGGCCTTCTGGAGCTGTGGGTAGCCTAGGCTCTGTGTGATCTGTGTTTTACTGGCTCATCTTGGGTACTGAGAACCTCTTATGCTTGAACCCCACTATAAAGCCTGTAGCAAATGCTGCTCTTTGTCAGAAAAGCTGTGATCAGCCTTGTAGCTTTTCCTTTTATGTCCTAAAAACCAATGTGACAGAGGTGTATCATCTGCACATGTGCACAGTGGCTTACCATCTTCACACGCAGTTTATGTCCTTGTGGAGGACACATAACTCTGTACCTTCTTTCATAATATGACTCTGATGCTTTTCATTTAATGTTCTGAAAGGTTTCTTCCTTCATTCCTTCCTTCCTTCCTTCCTTCCTTCCTTCCTTTCTTCCTTCCTTCCTTCCTTCCTTCCTTCCTTCCTTCCTTCCTTCCTTTCTTTCTTTTTTAAAGAAACCATGGCTAGATTCCCAGGTTAGCTTTCCTTTTACTTTTAGTATGTAGTTGTGAACCACCACCACAACAACAATAAAATCACATTTCTAATATTAGAAGCCCAGGTTTTGGTCTTGGCAGGCTAATATCATCCCTGTCCTTTGCTTCTTTTTGTCTTGTGCTTGTCAAACATGTGCTACTTGACAAGATGAGGGCATTAAGAATGATTGATTTCTGAATTCCTTTCATTGAAATGGTAGTGTCTACCTTTAGATACCATTATAAATGTGTGTATTCACATATACTTGATGTTGGCACAGCACATAATTGCTTTTGCTACTTTAATTGCTTTCTTCTGCATCACTTTTTATGATTTCAAAACCACTCTCCAGTGCTCTATAATGTAACATGAATATGAGGCCTTGCCACATTCCATAGATGGCTTTGTTTCCTCTTTAATGCTTTGCATAAGGAGCTTCACATACTTTATCTCATTTTGTGTCCCCCCAAGTCTTCTCAAATAGCTCTTGCTGAAATGGGGAGTTATCAGATCAGGATTACATAGCTAATTATATAGTCAGAATGAGGATCTAAAGCTGCGTGGCTGACACTTGTACCTTGTTTTCCCACTGTCCCTAAGCTGTGTGGGATTTGGGATGGTGAAGATGGAAAGCTGAGAGTTTTCTCTCGATGAGTAACTGTGATCTCAATCTGAGGGAAAACGCATTCCAAAAATTTCAGGTTGTATGGTTCTAAATGCTTGCACACTATGATCTAGGAACAGACAACTGCCAGGTGTCTCTGTGGTGAGGGCTGAAGGCCTTCCATGAAAGCCCCCATTAGGTTTTTTGGATAGGTACAATACGTAAACTAATGCCATATGGCAAGAGCTCATGATTCACTTTGAACAGTTAACAATTCCAGGTGAGCAAAGACATCTATTTTGATAACATATTTCCATGCTGTCAGTGTGTTTATGCATTAAGTAAGGCCTAGCCACAGGTTGTGTGTGTGTGTGTGTGTGTTTGTCTGTAAAGAAAAGGGCTGCATGTTGTACTATCACCCTCCCAAACTTTCTTTTCCTGAGCTAAAAGGAGACTTATGTTCTCTACAGGCTATTTTAAGGCCCCAGAATTTGAGGAGATTGTGTAGATTTCCATTGGCTTGGAAGGCAGCATGGGAGACTCAAAGGCTGCTACATTCATTTTGCTTTGAGTTTACGTGGAACTACCAGATTTGCAGACAATTGAAAGCTTTGAGTGACTTTTGCATAGTGACCCTCCTTTCAGGGGTAACACATCTTCCAGGATCGTAGGGGGATGCTCAGGGCTGAACCACGTGTGTATGTTTTCTCCATGTATAGCTATAATAAAGTTTGTTTACAAATTGGGAACAATAAGAGAATAACAACAATAGTGAACAAATATAAAAATCGTATAGTATAATAAAAGTTATATTAGCTGGACAGTGGTGGTGTAACCCTTTAATCCCGGCATTTGGGAAGCAGAGGCAGGCGAATCTCTGAGTTCAAGGCCAGCTTGCTCTATAGAGTGAGTTCCAGGACAGCCAGGGCTATCCTGTTAACATGGTTTTCCTGTTTCAAAGTATTACATTTTTCTTTTGTTTTCTTCCTTCCTTTCTTCTTCTCCTCCTCCTTCTTTTTTTCAATATTAAAAGAGTTTAATCCAACTCATAATGACTTTGATTTAAAAAGTATTTTGGATCATCTATTTGAGCTCCTCCAAACAACAGTGTTCCAAATTTGTGTGGCCATTTGTGTGGTGATTACAAACATGTTCCTGAGAGTTTTTCTCAAAGGGGATTTGACACCCTCACACAGACATACATGCAGACAAAACATCAATGGACATAAAGTAAAATAATAGATTATTAATAAAGAGATCTGTTTATCTTCCAGTCATATAATTTTATGTAGTAACAGTGTGAATTTAGTTTAGGAGAAACTCAGAGATGACCTGTCTGTACCACACTTAGATGGAGTGTGGATGCTCCTGGTGTACTGAAGAACCAGAGGCACAGCATTCAGCACTCAGGGAAGATGTGCACAACATCAAATCTTCTTCCTGTGTAGATAAGAAAAAACACTCAGAGAAGAAATAAACTATAGGTCTCTGCTATTATCAGTGCTATTTTGTGTTCTTCTGAATGCTCTTGTTAATATACAAAGACGAATTGAAATCCAGTGAGCAAAGACAGGAAATTCGAACTAAAATAATCCTATCCAGAAAAAAAGTAATGTATACAAGTGATTATAAAACTAGGCATCCAAAATAATCCTGCCACTGCTGGAATTCAGCTAAGTTTCTAATCATGTGAGTGGTGTGTGTGTGTGTGTGTGTGTGTGTGTGTGTGTGTGTGTGTGTGTGTATGTATGTATGTATGTGACTTTCAGGCTTTCCTTTAGGTCAGCAATAATTTTAAAACATCCTATCAGTAAAAATATATAATATTCAGAAACAAATGTGTTAAGCTGTGGTGTGGAACTGTATAAAAAGGAAGAAAAGCAAATAAAAATCACCATATGTTATCAATAGAAGTACTTTCAAAAATAAAATTCCTTGGAAAATGTATTTTTTTCATTGAAGTTGCACTTAGTTTTATGAAACATATTTCTTTCAAAGCAATGAACAATTTAACACAAACCTAAGAAAAAACCCAAATAAAGTTTCTGAAAAGACTGATACCTCACATTGTCCCAGTCTTTTGGGTCACCCACTTAGCATTATAGATGATAGACATTTGGACTAAGACCCTTGGCCACAAACTTTCCCTTACTGGGGTTTGAATATATAAGTCATTAGTAGAACACAAGACTAGTCTTTCCTTAGTAGATGGGAAGTGGGAAACCCTGTTTTTAGTCAAGATTGATCACATTTTGCTTGCTGCTTAATAGAGACTTACTGTTGGCTTCTTTAGCAAAGTAAATCCCTATCAATGTCTTAGAATGCATTTATTCCAACTAGATATATGCTGCTTATCTTCAATAAGGATTTGTTTACTCTGAGATGCAGATGGAGTTTCAAATTAACATGTCATAAAAAATTCTCCACTGGGATTTTTTTACTTTTATTTAATTTTATATAACAGTCCAATTAAATGAAAACAAACATTTATACACAATATTTGGGAATTTGGGTGTCGTTCTTTCCAAACTACTTCCTGCTGGTAAGGGGCGCTGTCTTGGGGGATTCGAAGAAGATTCAGATATCCTGGCTGTAGTCTGTAGGGCTGTTTTGTCCAGCTGTTTTGAATGTAGGATTAGCTTGTACTCTGTTTCAGGCGGTCTGGCGTGATCAAACCACATTAGTCTGGAAGGAATCCACAGCTTTTCATTTTCTGTGGAAACAAAAATAGAAATCCTTTTCCCCAGTAACTTGCCCTTCAACTTAAATTTTGGAGTCAAAGCATTTTTTTTTAGTTTAATATATTATTTTACATGTCGATCCCAGTTCTCTCTCCCTCCCTCCCTCCCTCCCTCCCTACCTCCTCCCCCAGCCCTCCCTCCCTTCTTCCCTCCCTTTTTACCCTCTCTGCCCTCTCACATGCACTCTAAACACCCTCCCCTCCCATCCCCCCACCCCAATTCCATATGTAGGGGAATGCCATCCAGTTGGGGTCATGTAGATCTGACAGGTCCTGTGAAGTAGGGACTAGGGCTTCTCTCCTGTCTCTAGATTAAGGCAGTTATCCCTCCATGGGGGATGTGTTCCCAAAGTCCTTTTGTGCACCAGGGATACATCCTGGCTCCACTGTCTGAGGTCCTTCTGGCTGAGACCCATATTCAGGAGGGCCTGAGTCAATCCCATGCTGGCTTCCCAGCTATCAGTCTAGTGGCCTTTAGCTCCTCCTTGTTCAGGTAAGCTGTCTCTATGTGTTTCTGCCTCATGGTCTTGTCCTCTCCATCTGCATCTGGGTTCTAGTTCGACTCAGTGTTTATGTATGGGTGTTTGATCCTGTTTTCAACAGGCATAGTTGAGGGCTCCATGGAGAAGTTAGTTGTTGATCTCACTCTCCGGGAAGGGCATTTATGATAGCCTTTCCACGGAAGCTCAACTTGTTAGTTGGGAGCAGTCTTATAGTTCTCTCGACCTTTCTTTGTGTTCAATTTTATCTTCAAACCAATATTGGCTCCCTCTTTTATGTTCTCTCTCTCTCTCTCTCTCTCTCTCTCTCTCTCTCTCTCTCTCCTATCTTCTATTCCTAACCAGGCTCAATCTTCCTGGTCGCACATGTTTTCCTTTCCTCCCCCTCATTTTCTCCTACTTCTCTCTCCATTCGCTGCCCCCCCCCACTTCACCTGAGCTCTGGAGGACTTGTCCCTGCCCAGTTCTGTGAGGGACTTTATATGACTCTCTTAGAATACACCTTGTATCCTAGTTCCTCTGGTGGTGTGAATTATAGGCTGGTGATCCTTTGATCTAGGTCTAAAATCCATATATGAGTGAGTACATACTGTGTTCCTCTTTTTGTGACTGGGTTACCTCATTCAGGATGGTTTCTTCAAGTGCCATCCACTTGCCTGCGAATTTTAAGATACCATTATTTTTTTCTGCAGAGTAGTATTCCATTGTATAGATGTGCCACATCTTCATTAACCATTCTTCAATTGAGGGGCATCTAGGTTGCTTCCAGGTTCTTGCTATTACAAATAGTACTGCCATGAACATAGTTGAACAGATGTCGTTGTTGCATGGATGTGAATCCTTTGGGAATATGCCTGGGATTTTTAATACAGAGAACCACAGGCCATTGCCTGAGGTTTCCTGCTGAAGCAGCCATTTTGCTTATGGGGCTTGTAAAGAAATCCCGTGGACACTAAGGTTCATGGGCAGACTCTCAGTTGAGGCATTTTTGAAGGTCACTAGGACCTGGGGACAGGGCACTTATATTTTTATTTTTTTTGAAAACTCTTGAGGTTGTGGCAAAGCTTTGTGTACTCAGATGTTAATGGAATTAATCAATTTTTCTTTCTTCCTTCCCTTCTTTCCTCTCTCCCTAAACCCCCTCTCCCTCCCTCCCTCCCTCCTTATCCTAATGGACCACAGTGTGGAAGTAATCCGTCTGGGACACAGTTATTTTATAAACTGGGATCGGAAGATGTATTATGCTACAAAAGCTATGCCTGCTGAAGCCCGGACAACCACACTCAATGAGGAGCTGGGCCAGATTGAATATATTTTCTCTGACAAAACAGGAACTCTCACTCAAAACATCATGACTTTTAAAAAATGTTCCATAAATGGCAGAGTCTATGGTAAGAGAATAGTTTCTTCCTCTTAATGATACTGGATAAGTAAATAAGCTACATCATTATAAAATAATATCCTGTTACCCAAACCATCATAACTTTTAAATTAAGCATTTCTGTGATGCATGATAGGTAATGAACACCCATAACCTTGTTATTGCACACATTTGGAACAATTTGATGAACCTTAGGATCTGTTGCCATTCATGGGTAGAGACAGTTCCCTTTGAAACTGTTACGCAGTTTTGCCCTACAGTGCTGCAGAGGTCAAATTCCCTGGAAGGATGAGTTGTAGGCAGCATGGTTTTTCTTGTTCAGCCAATGTCTTATTCTTCCTCCCATGTTTGCCATGGGACCAATGTCAGTACCAGTGTTTGTGAGGATTTAGTATTTATTTCCTGAAGTGCACACTTTCTTGGGCACCTTTACTGCAGAGTTCCCCTACACATTCTTCTGTATGGATAAATAATCTGTATTTGGGTTTTCAAGCATCCCTTTTATACCTGGCCTTTCTCAACCCAGTATTGGCTAGTTAACAGACGATTGATTCCCTTTGTAGAGAACATGGGCTCCCAACGGGACCTTCCATGGTGTTCTTCTGGATCTCTTACCTTCATTCGTGGAAGGCAGACATTTTGGGAAGTCAAGGAATTCCAAGAGAGGATACATTTTCTTTGTCTCTTAATGGGAAGGGAACTTCAAACATGCCCAGTAAATAGCATAAGGAACAATTACTTAAAATGTATGGACATTATTTTTAGAAGCATTGTAAAAATACTGCCTTGACCTAAATAGTAGTGTAAGAAAGACTATTTTAGAATGTTAGAGGGTGTTATGAGATCCGGGACCCTTTTGCGTCATATTAGCACAGTATTAGAAAGTATTAGACGAGTGGACCAATAACTATTTTTAGAAATATTTATGGAAGGCTACTTTTAGAAACAACTTCTTGACATTTTCAAGTAGAGATCTCAAGATCTTTGCCAATGTCCATATTTTTTTGATATGAAAGGAGATAACATTCAATGCATTTATTTTGCAGAGCTGAACAATCAAATACAAATCTTTACATATAAGTAAATGCTTCATCTCTGAGCTATGTCTAAGCTCAAACATAGATGCTAATTATTTAATCATGTAATCACCAATATTTTTGAAGACAAAACTTGTAATATGCCAGGGGTGATAGATAACACAAATGACCATTATAGAAACAGCAGGAGACGTAATAAAGCAACATGAATGCTATACTTTTCAGAGAACAAAGTATGCAACTTCAACATTGTTTAGTTTGATCGGTTTATATTTTTAAAAAGGAACAAATTATTAATTTCAAAACACCCTACATTTATTTTCCACAAAAAAGCCAATGTCCATATTTTAAAAATCCTATGAAAGTTTGAAATTTCTCTCATATGAAAGGAATGGGTTAAGTGTTCTCTTTTGTCTCTGATTTATATGCATTATAATATATAATTTATTTATGCCCTTCAAACATGCTCTTCCTTGCACACTCAGACTGTTCAGAATTGCCTTTTATGGGGCACAGCTTAATCTTGTTTTGAATCATAGATCTGGGCTTTGGGAGATTTTAGCATTTTATTCTGACTGATTGTTTTAGTTTACTATTGCTGTGATGAAACACCATGACCAAAGCAACTCAGGGAGTAAAGGGCTTATTTGGCTTACATTCCCACATCACTGTTCATCATCAAAGGGAGTCAGTGCAGGAACTCAAACAGGGTAGGATCCTGGAGGCAGAAGCTAATATAGGAGCTAGGGAAGGGTGCAGCTTATTGGTTTGCTCAGCCTGTTTTCTTTTAGAACCCTGGGCCACCAGATTAGGGATGGCACTACCCACCATGGCCTGGGTCTTCCCACATCAATCACTAACTTTAAAAATGCCCCACAACCTGATCTTATGGAGGCATTTCCTCAGTTGAGGCTCTGTCCTCTCTGATAACTCTAGCTTTTGTCAAGTTGACATAAAACTAGCCAGGACACCTATCTACATCATGTTTTTTTTGTATTCAGAACTATTGCCTTCTTAGACTCTTAACTTTTCGTCTCTTTTATCATTAATCCTGCAGTGGAATCTCTTTGGGGAACCATTTAGTAGTAAATAAATATATTTTTGCATTCAATAGCAATTAATGGAAACAGAGGCCGTTAAAGAGAGAAAGAAGGGGTATATAAAAGTGTCTGGAGAGAAGAAAGGGAAGAGATAAATTATATAATTATACAATAATCTCCCAAAAATGTAAAAAAAAACAAAATCCAAATAAAACAAAATACTAAGTTTATTTTTCTAAATTCAAATATGTATAAAACTAGTTTCAATTTTACTTACTATTTACTTTCAATGTTTTTAGCAGGTGAAGTACTAGATGACCTGGGCCAGAAGAAAGAAATAACTAAGGTATAGAAGATATACATTTCATTTTCTGTTTTAATTTTAAACTATATGTGCTTTTAAAGTATGGCACATTTCTAAAGGCCAGATATATATTATCCATCATGTTATGTGTAAAGTATAATATACAAAGAAGTAGATTCACATGGTTCAAAATTTCTTCTTATCCAGGAACCTTGGTCACACAGTTTCCAAATCTTAAGAGCTGTTTCTGCATATGCAAAAATGTTTCACTGTTCATAAACATGTGGGGTCAAATGCACATACTCTTCCCAGCATCAGAAACCTTAGCAGATCAATTTTAACTGCTTATTATTCTCAATTGTTAAATGATGTCTTGCTATATTTATGTCCTACAACTTATGTGACGAAACACTAGTGGGAATTTAAAATGTTTCTTATAGCCTGACAGTAAAGAAAACTCGGAGGAACACTAAGTCAGTGTGCTATTTCATAATGTTGGAATGTTCTGTGGAGTGCATTTCAAGAAATTGAATTACTTCTTACAAATGTGTGAATATCTGTAGCTTGATAGATATTACAGTTACATTTTAATCATATAAAAAACAGATACCTAACCCCTTTAAAGGACACACTATCAATGATCAAAGTCATTCCCACCAGGATTACCCCCTCTTAAAACTCATAGCACTGCCTAGTATGCCCCGTCTGAACACCAAACGTTCATACATGGACCTTTCAAGGACATTCAACATATATTACATTTAAAATGTAACAAATGCTTACATTTTTATAATATATATTTATTATACTTTTATATAATAAAGACATGTGAGACATGGTAGTGATTATTAAATTGTATTTAGGTAGGAAAATAATCAAGAGCTAGATTAAGTATATGTAATTACAAAATGTTTAGAGCAGTAAATTTTGGTTAGTTTTGACTTTGCCCCTTCCTATATAGCTGGTCTTGACAATTCAGATACTCATCTGTAAAATGGGAAAATAGTGTTTATTCCAGATGCTTGGTAGGATCTCTAAGTGCCATAATTCATAAAGCTGGCCTACATCAATAATATTTATTTTATTCAGTATTATTCGTTTTAGAATAAAGCTGGTTTGAGGAAGAAAGAGGCTACACCTGGCTGCAATTTTACCTCAGGTGTTGGCAAACTGTATCTTGGAGTGGAAAATTTCTCTTAGCCCTGTTTCTCTTTTAAAAAGTAGTTATAATAGCATCCATGATTTCAACTTCAGAATCAAATGCCAAACTGTAACACAAATGTCAGTAATGAATTTTAGGGCAGAATGGTTAGAAATTCACAAGTTTTGGGTTGTAGAAAAATAATGTGTTATATCCACCACTTTCTTTTGTAATGTTCAGTGAGAATTTTAAGAATGTGCCTTCCAGTAGAACACATTACTATTATTTGTTAATATCAGATGTTAATCCATAAGTAAGCAAATGTTAATTCACAAGTGTTAGTAGTTCAAAAAGGGCTACAAGACACATACTATTTCCGGTCAGATACTGCTCTCAAAATGAATTTAGTGAGGTCAGGACTACCCACCAATTTAGGTGTCAAAGGTAGTTCTGTGACCTTGAAAGCAAGTGCCAGAATTCATATGCCTGTTCAAATGGATAGAAAAATGCATGTCCCATGGCAAGGTAAGGTCTCTACACTGGTGACAAATATGACTGAAGATGACATTGTGAATGCTATGACAACTGATTATCACCTTTTGTAACACTCATGCTTTGTTTAGTATGCCACTGAACTGAAGAAATACGGATGTGGGTCCTGTCCTGAGTCACACAAAAGATGTCACTAAAGTCTTTGGTCCTGGGAGTCAAGGCTATGCAACTGGTAGTGCCCCCATGTTTCAGGGCCCCACATTGAGGGGCTATCTGTCAGGGACCAACATTAGGCACCGTCTGCCCTGACACCCAAGCAAGCCAAGGCACATAATTGCCACATCAGGCATGCAGGCTGTCCTAGTCCACCCAGGCTTGTTGAATGTGGTTCTCATAAGCTCTGGGGATCTTTGTTTTCAGTCCTGTGGATGTAGTTATGATAGAGCCCTAACTTCTGTCTCCCAGGTTCAGAGGAGCCTTTGCCAAGTCCCTCACTATCACCAAGTCTCATTACTTTTAGAGGTAGTAGGGACAGGGATGCTTGTAGAAAGATGGAGCTACTTAGTTCTCCCCACCATTTCCTCTTCCTTGGCCTCTTGCAAGTTACTTTATGTGGGAGACAGAGCCCAGACAACCAGTTAGAGCTTCTGTGATTCCATAGGGCCTGATGCCAAGGAACAGTGAATGAGGTTAATGCTGCTTCAAGCTCCAGTCCCAGACATCATTTTTTTGTTCTCTGCTAAATGGCTTTGTAGGTGATCCCAGCTATATAGTGGTAGAGGAGTTGAAAGAGTGACAGCTGCATAGCTCTGTAACTCTGTAGCCCCTTGAGCTCTGCAGCTCCTGTAAATCCTGGTTCAGTGAGTGAATAAAAACCATGCTAAGGGAGAAAGAACCATGTTGCTAAAAATATCATTCATTCATCCCACAAAAGGATGCACTGAAACTTTTGTAAAACGAGAATACATGAAAATAAGTATCCCCCAGCCCCAATCTAAGGATGAAATGCAAAAGGGATTCGGGACGTGGGGGTGTGTCCAGGTACTTGTACTACAACATCCCTGTGAGACTTTGGAGCCAAAGAAAAGGAAGTCTAGCCACAGTGTGCAGCTTAACTGGATAACATTAAATATGGGCATATGATTTCATCTGTGGAAGGGATACCTAATTTTGGTTACAAAGTAGAAGGCATGTGTTATCAGCCTGGATATGGGAATACAGTGGAAAAATGGAGGGCCAAAGTAACTGAATAGTTGTAGTGTCCTTATAAAGTGAGAAGTTGAGAGATACCTTCTGTTTGTGAAGGGAAATGGACATTTTATTATTTAAAGACTGTCATAAAGCTTCCAGAACTACAATATAATTGTCCTAAAATTGGGGGATAACCATCTGAAATCAACAAGAGGCCAAAAGATGGAGATCAGGTGGAATTCTCAAGTGGACGAAAGTAGTGAATGTGCTGTGTGACAATATTCCTAAGTATATGAGAGCTAACACCTACTCACCCCAGGCAGGGAACTGATGCCAGACCAAGTAACAATACCACCAAGGTCCATCTTGGTGAGCCGGTGAGTTTTATTAGGGGATGAGTATCTATAGGAAAATAGGCAAGGGGTTTACTTACAGGAGCAGAAAATATTAGACAGCTACATCACCAGAACCCACTGTAGAGTGTTGACAGCTCACAAAAGCTGGAAACCTGCACAACCTACAGGCAGCTCAGCAGGTTGGAATGTGTCCTTTCCAGGTTGGTCTGAGTCTCTTCCAGGCAGCCTGGCCGGTCTCTGCCATTTCCAGGCAGTGTTTCTGGTCTGAGAGTGTTCTTCATGACTTATAAACATCTATAATGCTTGCAGAAGGAGGGCTCTGTTGAATCTGTTTGGTTTCAGGGACTCCCTGAAGCTATTCTGAGTTGTTTATTTGATGAGTTTAAGGATCTTCCTTGGGGGATGGAATGTTTCACCCCCCCCTTTAACATTGTGTGTCTTAATGAACTTCCCTCCAAGATGGAAAGCCTAACTCTGCTACACAGCAGTGTGTGAATGTATACTAGAGATTTTCTATTTTTCAAACAATCTGGGATGAATTAATGGTTGCAGATTCTTTTTAAAGTAAGGTAATTACAACCCCATGAAAAGTACAAAGGTCAAAAATGAAAAGACAACTATGGATTATTGTTGAAAAAAATTTGGCTTGGTGGTGATGTTCTCTTACAGAAAAAGGAGGGTGTGAACTTCTCAGGCAAATCTCAATCAGAAAGAACACTTCACTTCCTTGACCACAATCTGATGGAATCCATTGAGTTGGGGGATCCCAAAGTGCATGAATTCCTTCGCTTACTCGCTATCTGTCATACTGTAATGTCAGAGGAAGATAGTGCAGGTAAGTGAAATGTGTTTGAGTAGTGACACTTTAAAAAAGCATAATACAGTTAAGCACTGCTATTAAAATGGAAGAATTTATGATAGAGTATTCCAGACAACATTATCTTATCACCAGTTTTTTATTTGTTTATACCCCAAATGCTTCTCATAAACAAGGAATTATTTTTTATTTTTTATTAATTTTATTTACATGTATGGATGTCTTGCCTGTATGTGTGTCTGTATACCACTTGTGTGCAGTGTCCATGGAGGCCAGAAAAGAGGGTATCTGATCACCTGGGGCTGGAGTTACAGACAGGTGTGAACTGCCATATGGGTGCTGGGAACTGAACCTGGGTTGTCTGAAAGAGCAGCCAGCATTCTTAACTGCAGAGTCGTCACTCCAGTCCTCATAAATACTTTATGAGCTAAAGATCCAAATGTGTCCATCAACTGGGACAAAATGCTTCTTATGACTGAGCACCACACTGGCTGTGAAACGTCCAGTTCCCAGAACAAGTAGGGAGATAGAGTTGAGTCACAGCACATGAGTTTCTAATGGATTAAGATGACCATAGAATGGGGATAAATCTACATCAAAACATTGTGGTCAACATGCTGATCAAGGTCTTTTACATGCTACATGATTGTTTGGAGCTCAGGTTCATAAAATGCAACAAAGCCAGCTGGCTCACTTTAAATTTTGATGCTGGGAGGCAATCAATGATGCCAGAGAATCAATTTCTTCTTTCCAAGTCTAACAGTCTCACCTGTAAATTTTATTTCTTTTTTTGCTACCAAGTATTAAGCTAAAACTACTACCCAAGGAAGTAATAAGTGCTGAATTAATCCATTCTTTAGATTTTAATTGCTTTGAAGATTCACATAATTATATTTATGGCTTTAATTGATCTTTATAATATTAACACCACAAGAAATTATTATATTCCCTTCTGGGAATTGCCTTAAGGAAGTCTCTTTTATTTCTGCCCTTTGAGTTTATTTCATTTCCCAAACCCTATTTCATTTTAATAGCAATCTGTTTTCCATTAATGTTATGGTACTCTTTAGATCTCATTGAGGATATTAATTATACTTAATTTGAAATTTGCTTTTGTTTCATCCAGTATGCTGTATTTTATTGAGTGTGTTCTCTCTCTCTCTGTCTTTCTCTGTCTTTGTCTCTTGGTCTCTGTCTTTTTCCCTCCCTCCCTTACCCTTCCTCCTTCCTTGTTCTCAAATGTCTGATGATTTCTGATTGTCTGTACCTCTTTGTGTGAGAGAATCCCTGCTTGGTGGCTGCTGTTTATTACTGTATTCTGTTGTTCAAGATTGCATAGATGAAGCAGATCATGAACTGGCCTTCTGGATGTAGGGTCCTCTGTTCTGGGATTCATGCTACCTATGTTGCTGTCTTGCTTTTCCAGGGCTGGCCAGAGCTCTTATTAGAGATAGAAATGTATATAGATAGGTTCCCTTCCTCATTTCTCCTTCTAGTCTATGGTGGCCTGATACTACTGCACTCACTCACCTCTGGTCTTGGGTTGCAGACTCAGATATCGACTCTCTAGGTGGCCTGAACTCAGGGTAGAAAAATACTTTTAAGGATGTGTCCTGGGGATAAGTAATGCTTCAGTCTGTTATTTGGGGCAGACTGGCTGGAGCACAGTGGATCAGTGGTGCTGAATGGAGTTCTTTAAGCAGTTTTGCTAATGAGGCTTCTGAAGTTCTGTTCCCATTTGTTGACTGAGTTTGGAGACTATTGGTGCTTTCTCTTACCTCTGCCTCCATTTTTTCTTCTACAAATGTTTTGGACTATGATTATTTCCCTATACTTCCAGTTCTTTATTGATCAATTTGACATTTTACCTTTCTAATAGTTCTCATATTTGTAGATTCATTTTCAATTCTAGTATTATTAAAAATTTACATTGTGTTACAATTCAATGCATTGAAGTGCCCAGATATACAAAGTATATACAAGATTACACATGAATAAACATTGAAGTTTGATGAGATTTGATAGTTCCAAATATCCCTAGAAGCACTGCTTGGATCAAGGCATAAATCTCTTCCATCAATGCAGCAAGGTTACTCCTGACCTTTCCATTCAGTTTCTATAAGCCCCAGCCTTTCCAAGCTCTGTTGTGACTTCTGTTACTAAAGATGAGTTTGCTATTCTTGTCCTCCATATAAGAAGAATTGTACAGTATATACTGTGTGTCATGTTCTGTTATCAGTGCTGGTATATCAGTTACTATTTTTTTCTTTTCTTTTTATTAAAGTAGCTTTCCCCTGTGTGAACATGCTACAACCTTTTCCAGTTCTCTATTAATACATGGTTAGATTATTCCAGATTTTGTGAGAAAAGTTGCCACACAAAGACTTTTTTAAATCTTTTAAAATTATTTGTTTAAAAAAATTGGAAGGAGGATGTCTAAATACATAGGAATGGAAATTTCCAGCTCATCATATAAGGATATGTTTAAACTTCTAAGAAACTGTTCAACTGTTTTCTCTTTAAATATTTATATACCCTTTTGCATCTTCACTGTGCACGAATGAGAGAGAGCTCCAGCAATCTGCACTCCCCATTCAACACTTTCAGTAAATACCCTTATGTCTCAATTCTTCTTATGACTGGTTAATGTCTGTTGCTGCTTAAAAGGATCTCTGAAGAGACAAGACTTAGGATTGTGCATGATTTCAGTAGTTTCTACCTTATGTCTCTCAAGACACCGAATTCCACTGATGGGGGGTAATGTCTTCAGGAAATGTGAACTTGCTTTGGTTTCAAAGCTTTCGTTGTGGAAATGTATAGTTCAGACTATATCAAATCTCTTCATGTAAAAGAACATTCAAAACTAAACGTTTCCTTATAAATATCACTTATAGAGAAGAAAAGAGTTCAAATCTAACATTCAGTTTTAATACTTCAAATTTGGCTCAAGTTAGAGGATATGGCTATAAGCATTTGTTCATGGGGAAGATATTTGGAGAGGCTGTGTTTTTCCATCACTACCAGTTTCAGGACAAGAGATTGGGAAATCCAAGTACTTTCGGAAGATGGTTTTTGTTTTTTTGAGATCAGGTTTCTTTGTGTAACAGCTCTGGCTGTCCTGGGAAATCTCTTTGTAGACCAGGCTGGCCTTGAACTCACAGAGATCCTCCTGTCTCTGCTTCCTGAGTGCTGGGATTAAAGGCATGTGCCACTACTACCTGGAAGGAAGATTTTTCTTTTATTTTATGTTTTAGTGAATGGCAATAAAATAAATGTTGAAAGTTTAAAACTTATTTCATTGTCTTATTATACTAATTTTAAAATTTGTTGAAGCTTGATAATGACTTGGTATGTGCTTGATTTTGATAAACATTTAATAAATGCTTGAGATGAATGCATATTCTATAACTTGGGAGTACTGTGTCCTAAACATATACACCAAACAATATTTTATTTATATTACTAAAGCTTCTCCTTCTTTTGTTTGTTTATTTATTTGATGTGGACTGCTATTTTGTAGCTCAGGATACCTTCAACTCATGGCAACCCTTCAGCCTCAGCCTTCTAAGTGCTAGAATTTAAAGGTATAAGCAATTATCTTGGTTTTTTTTTTTTTTTTTTTTTTTTTGTGGATTGTTTTGACAACTCAATTTCTCAGCTCAACAAAATATGCCAAAAGCACCAAATAGAACAGCACACTTGTATGATATTTGTAGTTTTCTGCAACTGGATTCTAGAAGTTTGGTTCAGTGTTTATCTGGGGATGTCTGCTTCTGCTTCAGTTAGCTATTGAATGAAGACTCTAGGATGACATATAAGGCAGTCATCAATCTCATTATTGGGAAGGGGCATTTAAGGTAGCCTTTCCACTGTTGCTCAGATTGTTAGTTGAGGTCATCCTTGTAGATCTCTGGGCATTTCCCTAGTGCCAGACTTCTCTTTAAACTTATATTGGCTCCCTCTATTGTGGTATCTCTTTTCTTGCTGTACTCTATCCTTCCCCTGACTCAACCTTCCTTCTCCCTCTTGTCCTCCTCTCCCCTCCTTTTCTCCCCTTCTCTTTCTCCTAATGCCCTATCTCCCCCTACCCTGCTCCCAATTTGCTCAGGAGATCTTGTTCTTTTTCCCTTCTGTGGGGGACCATGCATGTTTCTCTTAGGATCTTCCTTGTCTCCTAGATTTTCGGGCAGTGTGGATTGTAGGCTGGTGACCCTTTGCTTTATGTCTAAAATCTATAGATGAGTGAGTATATACCATGTTTGTCTTTTTGTGACTGGGTTACCTCACTCAGGATGATTTTTTCGAGTTTTATCCATTTGCCTTTGAATTTCAAGATTCCAATTTTTTTCCCTGCTGAGTGGTATCAAATATGTAAATGTACCACATTTTCTTTATCTATTCTTCAGTTGAGGGGCACCTAGGTTGTTTTTAGGTTCTGGCTATTACAAATAATGCTGCTATGGATATAGTTTAACAGATGTCTTTGTTGCATTAATGTGCATCTTTTGGGTATATGCTTAAGAAAGGAATTGCTGGATATTTTCGTAGACTGATTCCCATTTTCCTGAAGAACCACCATACTGATTTCCAAAGTGACAGTATGAGTTTACACTCTCACCAGAAGTAGAGGAGTGTTCCCCTTTCTCCACATCCTCTCCAGCATAAACTGTCATTAGTGCTTTTGATTTTAGCCATTTTGACAGGAGTAAAATGGTATCTCAGAGTTGGTATTATGTTCAGGAAGTAGTCTCCTGTACAGATTTGTTCAAGAGTACCTCCTACTTTCTCTTCTAAGAGGTTCAGTGTGGCTGGATCTATGTTGAAGTCTTTGATTCATTTGTACTTACATTTTGTGCATGACTATAGATATGGATCTGTCTGCAATATTTTACAAGTCAGCATCCAGTTATTCCAGCACCATTTGTTGAAGATGCTTTGTTTTTTTCCATTGTATAATTGTAGCTGCCTCCTACAGCTGATAAACACCATCAGCAAAGTGGCAAGATACAAGATTAACTCAAAAAATCAGTAGCCCTACTATATACAGACAATAAATGGGTGGAGAAAGAAATCGGAGAAATATCACTCTTTATAATAGCCACAAACAACATAAAATATATTGGGGTAATGCTAACCAAACAAGTGAAAGGCCTGTATAGCAAGAACTTTGAGTCTTTAAAGAAAGAAATTAAATACCAGAAAATGAAAAGATCTCCCATCTTTTTGTATGGGTAGTATCAACATAGTAAAAATGGCAATCTTGCCAAAAGCAATCTACAGATTTAATGCAATCCCTATCAAAAATCCCAGCACAATTCTTCATCAACCTTGAAAGAAAAATACTCAATTTTATATGGAAAAAACAAAAGACTCAGGATAGTCAAAGCAACCCTGTACAATAAAGGAAATTCAGAGACATTACCATTCCTGACTTCAAGCTCTGTTATAGAGCTATAGTCTTGAAAACATCTTGGTATTGGCACAAAAATAGACAGGTAGACCAATAGAATGAAATAGAAGACCCTGATATTAAGCCACACACCTTGAGCACAAGTCTTTAACATCTCAATTTGATCCCTTATATTTTGGTTGATTTTTTTATACATTTGGTTTCATAAAATGGTCATTAGTTTTTACCGAAGCAAAGGTAAGAATATGTGCTTCATCACTTCTTGTTTGATCTCTCTAATGATCATATCATCTCTTTTAGCAATAGGTCCCATCAGTATAAAAATGAAAATACTTATTTCAATATTCATTACTTCCAAAGGCATACTTTGAGGATCATATGAGTTAATAGATTACATTGTCAATGAAATTGAAGAGCTATGATCAATGGCCAAGAAACTTTTTATCACAGTGGAGAGACATAATTACAATAGCTACAGAAGGGGAAAGGTTGCATGGTTGTATGAATGGAGACTTTGGGTTTCCCAAGGCTTCATATGATTGATGAGTGGACATTATCTAAAGATAGGAATGTGTATAGAGTTGATGCCAGAGTTGGCTATTAATGAATACATTGGGATTAGCATTACAATTATGAACGTGAGTTATTACCCTCAATATTGAATGTACTTGTCTTTTTCATTTTAGGACAACTGATTTACCAAGTTCAATCACCTGATGAAGGAGCTCTAGTTACTGCTGCTAGAAATTTTGGGTTCATTTTTAAGTCTCGGACTCCAGAGACAATAACAGTAGAAGAATTGGGAACACCTGTTACTTATCAGTTACTTGCCTTTTTGGATTTCAGCAACATCAGGAAAAGAATGTCTGTCATAGGTATGTTTTTGTTTCTGTAATTGTGTTGGTGCTTTTCAAGGCTAACTTAACTCTTGGCTATGTGCTATATTTTTGTGACTTTATGAACTCTGGTGATCTTCAACTTAATCTCAGAAATGTAATAACTTGTGAATAAAGTTCAACAAGAGCTTATTCCATGCTTAACATTATTCTGAAGTCTCTATCCAAAGTAACTGCTTTGTCAACTCTAATAAACAACTCTAATAAAGTACATGCTATTATTTTTGTGCCTATTGTGTAGTCAAACTGAGATACAGAAAAGTTGAGCAACTTGCTTGAGTCCACAATGCTTACCAGCAGCTTGTTGCCACAATTGCCGTGGGTTCATTTGTAGTGGAGTCAAATCCGCAAGTTTGACTGGAGAGCTGTTCAGGAGAATTTCTGAATGGTGTAGCTTGTTCTGGTTGTTGTGGGCCTCACTGGACGTTCTCATACCATTTATGATTTCTGCTGAGTATTATTGGCTGTTCTCACAGTATTCATTATTTCTATTATCCCATTGCTGGAGAGATGGCTTATTACTGCATTTAGTACCACATTGCATCTAAGTTTTTCTAATTCAGTGTTAACCCTCAGCACCATGCCAGAAGTCTCAGATTAGTTGTGTAATCATTTTCCAGTCCTTTTACATCTCCAAGAAGGTTTTAAAATACGTCTTTTAAAATTATCCCCTTTTCTTAGTTCTTTGAGAATTTCACATAATGTGCTTTTGTCATCTTTATCCCCTTGCCTCCCAGATCAATGTCCTTCTTCCCTACCCACCAACTCTCTCCTCTTTTTTTCTCTCTTTAACCTATCAAATTCAATTTGTTCTGCCCATATATTCTTGGATGTGTGGCCTTCCAATGGAGTGTGGTCAACTTTCCAGGGTCTACACTCTTAAAGAAAACAATTGTTCTTAAAAAAGAACAATTTCAAGTAGTTCGTTGGCTAGAACACTTGGTATACATCCCTTCCCCACTCCATGCTGGGATTTTGTCTGCCATGAGCTTGCACAGGTCTTCTGCATTCCATCACAACTGTCATGGGTTCATATTGTTGCTGCCTTGCTCTGTTTAAAAGATACTATTTTTTTGTAGTCATCCTCTCTTTGAATCAGACTCTTTCTGCTTCCTCTTCCACAGTGATGCCTGAGCTTTGGGAGGAGAAGTATAATATAGATGTTCTATTTAGGGATGAGCATCTCACAGTCTCTCATTCTTAGTCATGGGTATCTATGCTACAAATAATCTATTGAAGATAGAAGCTTCTCTGGTGAGGGTTATTGCAACAATATATTACCCTCACATAGGACACAAGAAACTAAATTAAAAGATTATAAGTCATTTGTCTGAGAGTATCACATAGCACAATTTGTTTTTTAAATTATTTTTTATTTAAATTAAAAATAATAATATTTTACATACCAAACCTAATTCCCTCTAGCTCCCATCCTCCCATGACCTCCACCAACTCCCCATCCCACCCATCATCTACTCCTCAGGGAGGGTGAGGCCTCCTATGGGCATTATCAAAATCTGTCATATCATTTGGGGCAGGACCTATGTATCTAGGCTGAGAGAGTATCCCTCCATGGGGAATGAGCTCCCAAAGCCTATTCCTGCACTAGGGATAAATACTGGTTCCACTGCCAGAGGCCCTGTAGACTGCCCTGCCCCTCTCCTCCAACTCACTCACAGTCAGAGGGCCTGGTTTGGTCCTTCTGCTTCCATCAACTACTGGATGAAAGCTCTATGATAGCATTTAAGGTAATCATCAATCTCATTATAGGGGAAGGGCCTTTAAGGTAATCTCTCCACTAGTGCTTAGATTCTTAGTTGGGGTTATCCTTGTGGATTCCTGGAGATTTCCCTAGTGCCAGATTTCTTGTTAAGCCCATAATGGCTCCCTCTATTAAGATATATATTTCCTTACTCTCTTTCTCTGTTCTTCCCCCAACTTGACCTTCTTGATCCCTCATGTTCTCTTCCCCCCTTCCTTTTCCACCTTCTCTCTCCTACCCCCTCCCCTGTCCTCTGTGCTCCCAATTTACTCAGGAGATCTTGTTCCTTTCCCCTTCTTTGGGGTCCATGTGAGTTTCTCTTAAGGTCCTCCTTGTTTCCTAGTTTCTCTGGGTCTGTGAATTGTGGGCTGGTTATCCTATGCTCTATGTTTAATATCTACTTATGAGTGAGCACATACCATGCTTTTCTTTCTGTGTCTGGGTTACCTGACTCTGGATCATTTCTTCTAGTTCCATCCATTTGCCTGCGAATTTCAAGATGTCAGTCCTCCCACCCCCACCCCAGAGTAGTGCTCCATTGTGTAAATGTACCACATCTTCTTTATCTATTCTTCGGTTGAGGGACATCTAGGTTGCTTCCAGGTTCTGGCTATTACAAATAATGCTGCTATGAAATAGTTGAACAGATGTCCTTGTGGTATGAATATGCATTCTTTTTGAACTTTTAGAGGCATTACCATCCCTGATCAAGCTCTACTAGAGAGCTATAGTAATGAAAACAGCTTGGTATTGGTACAGAAAACAGATAGGTAGACCAATGGAATCAAATTGAAGACCCTGATATTAATCCACACACCTATGAACACCTGATTTTTGACAAAGAAGCTAAAATTATACTATGGGAAAAGGAAAGCATCTTTGACGAATTGTGCTGGTATAATTGGATGCTGGTGTGTAGAAGACTGCAGCTAGAACCATATCTATTGCTATGTACAACACTGAAGTCCAAATGGATCAAAGATCTCAACATAAATCCACTGAATCTCTTAGATCAGCACAGGAGACTGCTTCCTGAACAAAACACCAGTAGCACAGACACCAAGAGTCTCAATTAATAAATGGGATCTCCTGAAACTGAGAAGCTTCTGTAAGGCAAAAGACACAGTCAACAACACACAGCTTCTATACTTTTTTAGTACTAGGATAATGGTTCCTAGTGTTTAGCTTCCATTGGAGTAAGCTATGGAAATCTGGAAATCTATTAAAGCACACAACACTTGGCTTTGGTCATTGGTGTGTGGCTTTGGTCGTTGGAGGCAGTCTCCAGGTTTGCACCTCTGATTAATTCCTAGTACACTGCAGGGGACTGCAGATGGAGAAGCAAGGCCCTAAACTATCATTTCCTCATTGTTAGTCATTATTTTTCATGCGAATATTTGAGATGTTTCTCAAATCTGTCTCCTTCTTTGTTACTCTCTAAATTCAGAGTTTCTCTAGAATCCTAAATTTTTCTTTTCCAAATGCATCCTAGAATGATTTGCAAAACCAATGTCTATTAAGCTACATTTTCCCCCTTAAAATCCTATTGTTCTTTCCTCTTAGTTACCAGTATCATTGCTTCATTTAGGGGTCTTGTAACTGCTTACTTGAATTATTCCAGTGTCTTCAAAACTGTCCCCCATTAAAATAATCACCTCTATGCTGGAAATATGCTACTATTTCTAAACCATAGACCGATTATATCATCACTTAAAAAAGTATTGCCTTCCCAGTATTCACAGGGCAATGCTCCTAGTGTGACTTGTAACCTACTTTTCTCTAATTTCTAAACTTTATACTCAAGTGTCATCACACCTCATTATTCCCAAGATGTATTGTATACTTATATACTCTATGTACATGCTTTTTTGATGCATATGTAGAAAATCCTTTCCCCTAATTACTTTTTTGCTGAAAACATCTTCTCATCTGATAATGATCAATTTAAATGCCATTTGTTCGTCTTATTTTCCCCAGAATGCTTTGTTTAATACAGCAGTGAGATTCTTTTTCCTGGGACTCGTTGTTATAACAGCAGCACATAGGTTGGGTGCTACCTGAGGTCAGGTAGCCTTATCTTCATACTGACTAGGGCTGAGCACCAGGCTTGTGCATAATCTCTACAAATACCCATTGAATACTATCTAATACTTTATAATTTAAGAACATCTTTGTCATTTTATTATAAGAATTCCTACTATGGAAAATATATATATATATTCACAATGGTAGTGTTTGGGGTCTTTATAGGAATATAGTATGAAGAGGTTGTTCTGAGGCTACTCATTTTATTTATTTATTATTTTTTAATGATAACAGGCCACAGGTGGTTTCCACCCTCTAAGAAGCACACAGGCTGTTCTAGGTGTTGGCTTAGCGCTACATCAGCAGGATCCTCTATTTCCAGCCCCCAGGGAGATGTCAGTGGTCCTCAGTTGGTTCAGCATGGATTTCATTTTGCTCTGAGGGTGTTGACAAAAACCTAAGATTGTTATATGGGGAGAAGTTTGGCTTTTGCTCAGTATCAGTCACCATTACAGGCTGTGGGGAATTCTCAGCCTAACCGCAGACATCAGATGTCTGCCTTAATGGATCCCACATGGGGAAGGGCAAGGCTCAGTGCAGTGTGGGGAGGGCGGGCTTCATTCTGGCTCTTGGTTTTCAATGGGGATCTGGGTGGGGATTCAAGAGGGACTCTCCTAGAGCACAAAAGCCTGTTTGATTCTAGGCAGGAAGCAAAGCCAACCTCCCGATTGTCATGTGGCCTGTTCCACAGGGACAAGGTGAGGGCACAGACATTGTAGCTGCAGTTTCTCCCTCGGGGTCCCATTACCATGTCTTCTCTTTCTTCCTCTTATGCTTTCTTCTCCACTTTTCTGCCTTATTGTTTGTTTTTGGGTCTGTCATTCATCAGCTTATTAATGTATAGTATCAATACCAGCATGCTTAGCTTTCAATTGGAGACAAGACCTCCTATTACAATTAGTGCTGTTTATTTATTTACTGTTTTGTATAATAGTATTTTTAATTTAAATTTGAAAAAAGCTTGTTTTACATGTCAATCCGTTTTCTCACCCTCACCTCCTACCCTGCCTCACCCCCATCCCCAATCCCATCCCCTTTCTGCTCCCCAGGGAGGGTGAGGCCTTCCATTGGTGATCTGGAAAGTCTGTCATATCACTTGGCGCAGGCCCTAGGCCCTCCCCATGTGTCTAGG